CCAGACAGGGTGTTAATTACAATCTGCCAGAATGACTCACCACCTTCAGATTTCTGCAACACCAATAAAAAGGATCAAATACGGAACATATCTTGCTATTGACAACGTGCGCAGGCCTGAGCGCTGAAGCTCGGCGCATTATTATTATGAAGCTAGGGCACATGTAAAGGACACACACACTCACACACACTCACACACACACACACACACACACACACACACACACACACACACACACGCAAAATATACTTGTTTTCAATTACATTTATTGGGCTCACTTACTGATGTTAGTCTCTTGTTCAAGAGTGGATTGACACAAGGAATGCGACAGCTGAAACCCAGGTCTTTCATACGTTTGTGCGTGGTGGTTCTTGAAGCGCTGACTCCAGCTGCAAACCACTCTTTATTGTGAATCTCCCCCACATTTTTGAATGGGTTTTCTTTCACAATCCTCTCCAAAGTGCAGTTATTCCTTTTGACAGACTAGATCAGGAAAGCAGTGAAGCTTGGACTGGTTACTGAATGAGACATGCTGCTATTTAGGACAGAACACTGTCTGCACTGCGCCCTGGTGGACGAAACGGTAAAATTCCTCAATGCTTTTGATAACATTGACTTTGTGAAAGTTATTGAGGACTATTATGGGTGTGACGGCTTTCTGTTGCCACCATACTTGCAACAAAATTCTGTCTGCAGCTTGCCTTGTGCAACAGAGGCACAGCAATACATGAATAAAAAAATACAATACATATACTACCCATTTCCATTAGACTCCACCTCTCACATTAGTGAGAGATGAAGTCCTCACTAGTGTGATGGGTGAAGGACAAGCTCTGATAGACTAAATACAGATTGTTGCAGGAACCAAATTGGCTTTTATCAAGACGTTTCTTTTATTGAATTAAAGCAGTGACGTTTATGCATTACAACAGACTGAAAGTGAGAAGTGAAGTCTGCAAGGGTTCGCTCTGAACACCCACTCCCCTCATGGGAGTCACAGCTGTAGCTCCAAAAGATGAAGTCAGCACTCAGTGTGGATCAGTATAACACCTTGAGATGATCTCCAGAATTCCAATTACACTTATAAATGTTTGCCCTGTCTAAGATAAGGGACAGACTATGCTTTCTAAAATGCACAACATCCTCATTGTCACACATTCCCAAACACATGTAGAGTTCTTGGTTGGTTCTCTCACGTGTGAAGTTCCTAAAGGCTCTATTCTCGGACGTACTAACAACATGAAAACATTGCATTTCTTTTGATTTCTATGAAAACACAGTCCAACTCTTCAGTTGTCATAATTCAATAAAACAACAGTTCAACTGTTACACGCATTTGTATTGATTAGCTTCAGCATGACAGTAACATTTTCCCACCATTTTGTTATTTTATGTATAATAATTTGGCAATAGGCAGTTTTTTTATTTAAATCACAAATTAATTAAAATTTGAATAGAAGACCTCTCCCCCGACCCGGAGGTGGCAAGCCACCCTTTTCCGGTCGAGAACCATGGTCTCAGATTTGGAGGTGCTGATCCTCATCCCAGCCGCTTCACATTCGGCCGCGAACCTACCCAGCAAGAGCTGAAGGTCAGAGCTGGATGAAGCTAGGAGGACCACATCATCCGCAAAAAGCAGAGACGAGATTCTCCTGCCACCAAACTCGACACACTCCACACCACGGCTGCGTCTAGAAATTCTGTCCATAAAGGTAATGAACAGAACCGGTGACAAAGGGCAGCCCTGGCGGAGTCCAACCCTCACTGGGAACAGGTCCGACTTACTACCGGCTATGCGGACCAAACTCACGCTCCTCTGGTAAAGGGACTGAATGGCCCTTAACAGAAAGCCACCCACCCCATACTCCTGGAGCGTCCCCCACAGGGTGCCCCTGGGGACACGGTCATAAGCCTTCTCCAAATCCACAAAGCACATGTGGATTGGTTGGGCAAACTCCCATGCCCCCTCCATCACCCTTGCAAGGGTATAGAGCTGGTCCACAGTTCCACGGCCAGGACGAAAACCACATTCCATTATCTACCTCCAATAATTCAATGCAGTCAATAGTTTCTGATCAATGTGCATGATTTTTAATACTTAAAATATTGTTTAAAGTCTGTTTTGGTTGCTTGTTCATATGAGAACAGTCATTTGTCTTTATATCTAACTGTTTTACCTTATTTTTATCCTCCTTGTCTTCTCTGTTTTCTTTGGTGTAAAGCTATATTGTGTCTGTTGCTGCCTCTTGGCAAGAACGCTATCAATCAACTCTTCTGGTTAAATAAACAAAATAAAATTAATTTAGTGTATTTCTGTTGTGGAAAGTCAATGCAAATGTTCCACGAAAAAAACCTGAAAATCCGCATTAAGCCTGGCTCACCTGCTGACTGGAACCAGGTGTGTTGAAACTGGGTTAAACGCTGAATTGTTGCTCCAGAGCCGCAGTTGTAACCCCCCCCCCCCCCCCCCCCCGGTCTTAGCTCCGCCCCTCCCCCCAAACGGTCGGAGTGACTCGTGCGCATGCGCAAGAAGACCTTCCCATTCTTGAAGGCCATGTGGCTATCGTTGGTAAATAAATGCTAAATGTCCACTTCCGCCTCGTTTAGGCTACGTTTCAGCTAGATTCTGACTTCTTTCGAGCCGGACCAGCAGCCATGTCGGCGGGCGTCATGAACCTGCAGGCGCAGGTGGAGTCGGTGCTGGGCTCGCTGGTTAAAGCGGCTTCGGTGGAGTTGATAAAACTGTTCGAGAGTAGATACCGAGCGTCGGTGGTGGAGGTGGGCCTCACTGGGGGAGAGGAGGACAACAAATCCTGGGAGAGTCTGGACGACGTGTCCTGTGGGGACGGCAAACGCAGCATCGGGGTCCAAGTGGAAACGGACATCGGTCTACCGCTGGATTATGGTGCGTGCTGTTTGGGTTTTGCATGCTCAGACTTTTTGGTTCTGGCTATAATAAATAGAATTAAGATGAGCGCAGAATGGGGTTCATCCAAAAGATAATCTATAAATGCCTGATGCACATTTGCAGAATATGCTTATACCTGACAAATCAGTAGCTCCAAAGTTTGCAGAGTGGTCCTTGTGTTTGGGAATGTGTCTGTATGGATAAACCCCTCCCCCTCCTCTCCGCAGACCCCCCTTTTCTCCAGGATGTTGGATATCGGAGGGAGCAGAATGAGGAGGTTGTGGAGGCCTGTCTCCTCTCCTCAGAAATCCCCCTGGCCGTGGAAACTGGCTGTAACGGTGCCCCTCTAAAGGTCAGTGAGAGGTTGCTTGATGTAAATCACCTGTGGATGGACACAATACAACAGCAGCTCACCACTAACTACTATTATAACACACAACACTGGTGTGTAAACCCAAATATTAACACCAAAGTTTTCCCTGTCATGTCTTTTTTCTAGATTATCGCAGCAGACAATCTGGCGGAGCTGAGCGTCCTTCAGGCAGAGGCTGATAACGCTGCTCAGACAGAAGACGTGTTGGAGGGTAAGAGACCAAAACAACTGAGGAAATGGGGACTGCTGGGTAAAACTGAGTATTTGCTTGAGCTACATTTTTTAAAGAGGCATTAGAATGTAAAGCAGCTTTTACTTGTTGAATAAAAGACAGCTTAGATGGTCAAATGTAGCGTTCCAAAACATTGAAGCCGTGTGTGACCTGCTTTCTACGTAGAGAAAAACCCCTGTTCTGAGCAAAGCTGCGTCAACAGGTCGCACTCCTGCTACATCTACATGTTTCAACTAGGGATGCTGCAATCCCGTCGCGTGATTTTCGGAATCAAGTGGGGAAGATCAGATTTAACCATATAAACAACAAACATTACTTTTTAAATTCATCCTGAGAGATAGATAACGATAGGTTAGTTTTAAATTCAACAAGTTCCAGATCTTCCATATTTGACTGAGGTGTTAGAGGCGGAGAAGAGGGCGAACTAGAGGAAAAGCAGGCAGAATCCTCCCTATTCTATTTACAGGCCCCTGGGACGTAACAAGTGGGCGCGGTGCGTTTATTATTTGATGTTGACGGTTTTTTAGAATGAAGTTGTTAACGTAATTGACGCGTCACTACAGCCCTATTTAGGGTTGTCACGGTGTGAAAATGTAACCTCACGGTTATTGTGACCAAAATTATCACGGTTATCGGTGTTATCGCGGAATTTTTTAAAACGTGTTACTTTTTCAGACAACTACATAAACCCCGTATATCAGGAAAATATTGTCCTCAGTTTGTGTCTAAATTTTGCCTAAAATGTGTTATTTTGTAATTATGTTGTTTATTTGTTTACATTTTTCCCCTTTAGTCTTTAAAATACCAATATTTGCCCATAACTTCTTATTTTTTGTCTGTTTGATGTCATCATTTTAAAAATATTAGATCAGATGATACTCAGTACTCAAGTAGCCTTCTAATGAGATACTTTTTTACCCTTACTTGAGTAATAAACCCTATATCAGGAAAATATTGTCCTCGGTTTGTGTCCTTCCAGTGAGCTTTGCAGATGTGGGAAAATGTCATCAGGCAGTAATCATTGTTAAATTCATAATTATTCTCGGAGAGAGACCAACTCTTATCTGCCCCTGGGAGCCCCGTAATGCATAGCGTCATTTCAACATGGGGGTGTCCGCGGCACGGTTTATATGCAGGTAGCGGCGCTGCGGCTGCTTTATATAGCGACTCGTTGCATTCTCCCTCAACCCAAATCGTCGGATCACGCATTTTAGCTAAAACGCTAACGTTAGCTTGCCTTGCGTTGACTGTAGAGTTGTGGGTGATGGTCACGCAGATGTGTCATGAGATTTGAAGCGTTGCTGCCTTTCACAGACACTTTTTCTGCACGTGCTGCAAACAGGATAGTCGTCTTCTATCAGCTGTCCTTCGGCATTCTTTAAATATCCAAAAGATGCCTGTACTTCCCACTTTGTCTTCTTTGAGGGATAATAAATGTCCTGAGCGCTGCCGTCTCCTCCTTTGGCCATTATTTCAGCTTTAGCTTCAAGAAAGTTTGGGTTGTAAACAACAAAGTGCGCATGTGCCGCCGGCAACTTCAGCAGATGATACGGTGGCTGGTAAGGGTCACCGCGCCTACATCGCAGCCACGGTAAACCCACCGAGATAATATATTTTTAAAAAACAAGACGGTTATTATTTTTGTCAACTTTTTTACCTGGGTTTACCACTACACCGGTTACCGTGACAACCCGAGCCCTATTGTAAACTGTCAGCATGCAGCTCACTACATTCATGTCCTGGTGGAGGAAAAATGATCTTTTTATAATGAGCTTTATTGTGTGTAGGGCAGCACAATATATCGCAAATATATCATCATCGCGATATCACCATGCGCAATATGCATATCGCAAAGAACAGATAAATATCGCAATGAATGGTCAGCTCAAATGTTTGCTACACATAATGCATTCTGTCAATCGGACGGAAGCATGCTGGGTTTTTTAACTAATCAAATGGAGCTCTCCACCCATTTGGCCATTTAGGTGGGTTCTCATAGGTCAGACGCCCGCCCCCGAGGCGGACAGCACTTTATTTTGATCTTTAGCAAACACCTGAGTTAGCTTAGTTCTGCTCTTTCTGCTGATTCAGCTTTTTCCGGGATCCACTGATTGCCTTTTCTTGTTCCTTTCCTCACATCTTTAGCTTTTCTCATTTTTATGATTTTTTTTATCACCCCCAAATTCCACTACCTCCGCTCCGGTCCGCCCCCGCCTTCCGCAGCCGCTCGCTTCCGAACTCAATTTTTCTTGGTACCCGCTCTACAACGGCTCCGCTCCGGTGCGGAGACCTGAGGGGGGAAAAAAAGCATGCGCGGGATTTTCGAGATCTTGCGATACAGTCCGAGCAATAAACGCGGAAGTTAGATCCAAACACCCGTTGTGTGGGAGAAGCATCGGCATGAGCTGTTTAATCTGCCCATCATTTGTGTTGAGAGATCAGCAGTGTTTGGATCAACAAAGTGTGACTACTTTGATAGTAGAAACTGTATTTATGGCTTATTTTTGTGCATTTAAACTTCAGCCGCCATTGATAGTTGTTAAAAGTTGTTAAACCTGTGCATATGAAACAAAAAACGCCTTTTGTTTATCGATTTATTGTGAAAAACGGAAATTGTGCTTGCTCCTTTTCCTGTTGGGCAGTTATGATTTATGTCCATTTACTGCGGAGGTGCTCCGGCGTCCGGCGAAAATAGGATCGATTCTATTTTTGCCGGACGCTGGAACAGAGGGCGGCGCACGGCGCCGCACTGCCGGAGCACGGCCGCAGTAGTGGAATTGCTCTGATTGACTACAACGGGACAGATTTTGCTCCGGCGTTCGTGTCGGAGCGGAGCGGAGGTAGTGGAATTTGGGGGTTACTTTGTTTTTCATTATTTTTGTTCCTGAGTTAAGTTTTTATTTATCGCAAGTAATATCATCATCGCAATATTAATCAATGTTATCGAATATCGCAGGTTTTCCTAATATTGTGCAGCCCTAATTGTGTGTGTTTTACTTGACCATTTATCACGGCTCTTGGGACGTTTTGAAAATCAAATAACACCTAAACGAACATTTTTTTTTGCTGATAACCTGCATAGATGAGTGTCTGTAGACATGTGTAATCATTAGTGTGGCAGTTTGGTGCAACCTACTTTAAATGTCATATTTCAGCCCAAAACCATAATTATATCATCTTCGGGTTAAAACTCTGCTCCACATTCATGTAGAAATAGCCGTGGCTGATGGCTAAGCTGAAAAACCTGACGTTGTCAGCAAATTACTACGTGGTTGCACTGCACTGGTCTCCATGTGAGGCAGCCGCACCTCCAGTAGAAGGAAAATATCTTCACACGGCTCCAGCAAGACTCTTTTTCAGCAGCCACCACTGAGTCTTCATGAATAACTTTACTGATAGTACTGTTGAGGATGTTGTGATATGCATTCATTTATTTATAAAATAAGAGTTCTTTATTTAAAAGGGAAGTACTTATGTTTACGCATTTAAGTACTTATCATACCATACCAAATGTAATTCTACATCACATTTAAAAGACAGCTTGACAGCTGACCAAAGTGCTGTACAGATACAAATTTAAACACAATAGAAGTAGTAAAAAGCACGATCAACAATAAAAACAACAAACCCAGAAAAGTAATTTATGAGTCTGGAAATGCGGGTCATAAAAGTGGGTCTTTAGAGATGACTTGAGCCGGGAGAGGGAATGAGCTGGTCTCACTGAGAGGGGAAGAACATTCCAGAGGATGGGGCAGCATGCACGAAAGCCCGCTCCCTCCTGATTTGTATTTCAGGGAGCTAATGTAGACATGGTAACGCAGGAGTGATGTGTTGATATTCGGCTCCGGTTTATCATGAAAAACACTGCTGCGGAGGAAGATGAAGCATTTTCTGCGAGGAAAGAGGAAGTCATCTGTAGTTGCTACACGGGCTAACTCTACTCGTTCATTGGTGCTCTGAACTTCTCAAGATTTTTTTTACTTCTCACCAGGAACGTTTACTGTTCAACTATTCAGAGTCTGAACAGTTGAACAGTAACCGTTCCTGGTGATAAGACGAGACTGTTTTTTCTAAAAGATCCTTATGAACAGTTGTGATGTTTTCCTTCTCTCAACAGGGACAGATCCTGAGACATCAACCCAAAGGTCACCCGTAAAACCAAAACTTATTGTGATTCAGCCGGTTACAAGCAGTTCCTCTTCTGAGGAGAACATGAAGTTTGTTTGTCCGTTAATCCTGAAATCCGAGTCTCCGGTTCCCAAACTGGATCATTCTGAACCCCAGCAGTCCGTTGTCAGCACCGCCAAGGGCACCGCCTACAGTCCGTCTCCATCTGACGGAGCCGTGACTCCAGCTCAGGCCGGGGTATGGGAGCGGATCCACACACCCAAACAGACGGAGAACCACCTCCAGCTGAAACTGAAGTTCACCTGTGTGGATAAGAAGTTGCTGCAGCCATGTGGCGTGCAGCTGGTAGACGTGCTCAGGATTCCCAGGTCCGAGGTGAAGTCTGAGGCAGCCACAGCCAAGCCTCCCAGGTCATTCAAGCCTCTAACCAAGGATGTCCGTCGCCACCAAGGTCCCCACACGGGCCATCGGCTCTGCTGCTTCACCCGCTGTGGAGGAGGAATCTGGCGTCTCCGGAAGATCGTCACCCACTCCCGCGAAGGATACGTTTGCAGCATTTGTGCAAAAGCATTCAAGCGTAGGAAAATTCTGCGTCGACATGAGCGCTTCCACACCGGAGAAAAGCCGTACTCGTGTTCGGTGTGCGCCAAGACGTTCGCCTTGAGGAAGAGCCTCCGGCGCCACGTCAGGTTCCACACGGATGAGAGGCCGTACTGCTGCTCCCAGTGTGGAAAACCCTTCCGTCTGAGAGACAACCTGAAAGCACACCTGAGGTTTCACTCTGGAGAGAAACCTTTCAGCTGCGCCGAGTGTGGAAAAATGTTCCGAATTATGAGGAATTTAGAGAAACACAGACTCAGCCGGTGTGAAACGTTGGCTCCTTTGTTCCGGAAGATTGCTGGATTATAGCTGTGATGGATAACAGATCCAGCGTTGTCTACCTCAAACTGGAACGCTGCAGACAGCTGTCCTGTAAGGTTACCACCAGAACTCCTCAAACTCTCCATTCCAGGGAAAGCTGAAATGTTTTCCAAAGACAATAACTGGGACTGAATTTTCCTTTTCGGACCTTTTGTTAAATTCTTGTTATAAATTCCCTTGTTCTGTTGTAGTCCACATTTGGACAGAGACCCTTTACAAATCCAGGCTAATCTTAGCTCCTGTGGAATATTTGTGTTTTTTAGTAGAAAAGGAAATCCGACTAAACCCTCGTTGCTACTGCAGAAACTGGTCCTGGATGTTAGGAAGCAGATTTCCTGACATTTGATCAGAGCTGGAGGCAGCTGTGTGGATCAGAGAGTAAGCAGCGTCTGCCTCGACCCACTAAAGATGTCAAAATGATCGCTAAGACGAGCGAAAACAAAAATTTCACGAGTCTCTGGGAGTTACCTGCTCATTCTGACTCTGAGCCGCTTTTGTACAAAACTTTTTGTTTTCTTACAAAAAAATATCTGCGTCACTTCTGCATTTTTCATTAAGTTGACAGTATGTTCTTCTATACTTATGTTTCCACTACTGAATGAATGTAACAGTTTTGCTTTAGGTTAGCAAAACAGATGGTGTAAAGCCATACAAGACATGAGTGAAATGCTTGATGCTCTCTATCACACAGGCCTGTGCTGTACGAGAGCTTCAGCGTGTAACCTGAGCAGGACTGCGTCTTTTATGTTTTAAAATGTGCAGAAGCTGAAAATGCTACTAAATGAGCCGTTACTGTTATGAATATTCATTACCATTACTGTTACCAGTTTTAGCTTTATAAAAACTTATTTTATCAATGTTTCTTTTGAATGTAATGGTTTATATCGGACTTGTTTTTTTGTTTGTTGTTGTTGTTGTTTTTTATAAAACTAACAGATGATTTTGTACTGAATCTTCAATGTTATTTGTTCTAGATGCGTTTTAGCCGGTTATATCTCTGTCTTCTGAAGCGGCTTATTTAGTGATCTGGCTGCTATAGAGATGTGTTTTATTCTGCAGCTGAAAAGCTTTTCATATGTTTGTATTAAAATCAAATCTTAAGCTAAAACTAGAGAAGGAAACTTACTTTATATTTGTTCAGTCCAATCTTGTTTTGCTGGTTTTGAGTTAATTAAAGGTGTGGAACTGTTGTTTAATAAGTCTGCGGTGGTCTCTAATAGGAATGAATGCCTTGTAAGTCACACTGGGGGGGGGGGGGGGGGGGGGGGACAACACTGGTGCACTATTTTCAGGAATTCGAAGTGAGTCACGTCACAGCTGAGCTTCATACATTTGGACTTTTTTTTTCTCCTGATATTTGGACATCTCTGATTGGATAACAGCAATGTGACTCTACCACTGACTGCTTGTTTTGCAACATTGTTTTATGTCCAAAAATAACAAGCCCGGAGGAGTTATGTTGTGTGGTGGAGTTGCTAATGCTAAAGATTAGCTTCTACTAGTAGAAACCACAGACATTAAATACATAGATACCCAACAAAAAACACATTTTATTATGCTTTTTCACAAAATCAGACTTGTGTTATCGCATGATAATTAAAATATATACAATATAATTATATACAATATAATTAATCTAAATAAAAATATAGAATCAACTGGTAGGCTAGAAGTCAGTAGTAATCCCACCTGATCACACCTCTGAGTGACCTCCAGGAGAGAAGATGTCCACAGCACAAGGACGCGGCCCTGAGGTACTACTGCAGCTCGTCCAGGCGCTACATCTGCAGCATTTGTGCCCTAGAGGGCAAGCAGCTGAATGCAGCCTCAGAGACCTCCACTGTGCTGCGACGACAGCTGACCGTGAGTTCAATAATATGCTTCATCACCGTCTCAGGGTAGAAATATCCACCTGTGTCTGTTTTCAACAGGAGCAGCACTTCAAAATGCTCAGAGAGCAAATCACAGAATCCACCAACGGTCAGCGTGGTGTGAGTCTGGTTTCTGGAGTCCTTGCTGTGACTCTAAATTAGCGTTTCTCATGTCTGGCGTCTGCCTTCACAAACACAGAGACCCAGATCAAGTCCTGCTGATGTCTCAGCGGCGTCACGGTGGTCCTACTCTTTCTTTGGTTGATAGTTCTGTATTACGGTAAGAACTAGTTTGTCTTTCTCACTTGTGTTTTACCCACTGATGAGTTTTTGTCTTTGCCTACAGCCTACAACTACTCAGTGGAAAATCAGACCCTAATGGAGACGCTGGAGAAGCAGCAGAGCTGCGTGCGTCACATCTACTCCCATCATTGCTGGTAACTCCCTGCTACTTGAGTTGAGAGCATGAAAACAGAAATACGTCCACTTTTGGATTAGAACTGCTGTCATTGTTTAGTTAAGCTGAAAAAACGGAAAGCAAATATTGATTTCATTTAACTCAAACCTTCTTTCTCTTTCCTGCACAGAACATTTAGTTGCTGATTCTCTAAAGAGCCACAAAACTACAAAAACTGAAGAGAAAGGTAGAAAAGAGTCACTTTAAACATGGAGACAGATGTTAGCCTTCATCATCGTGTTTTTGCTTTATAATCAGCAGTGATGAATAAAGTAATTAGTGCATGGTTAAGCTGCATATCACATGTGTTTATGATTGACATTAACATCCTAAAAACCCTGTAATTTTCCCTCAGGAGTGGTTAGATTGGACATGAACACTGCCAGCCGCCTCCTTGGAGTTTCTGCGGACCTTCGAACAGCAGAGAGTGAAATCGGCTCCCATCAGCGACGAGCGCTTCAATGCAGACCCACAGATCCTCTCCACCCCCTGCTTCTCTTCCAGCATCCACATGTGGGAGGTGGAGGGCTGCTGGGACATCGCCGTGTCCTACATGAGCATCCAGAGAAAGAGCAAAGACAGCAGCAGCTTCGGGCAGAGCGTGGAGTCCTGGAGCCTGACCCACAGCGGTGAAGGGAAGCGGTTTGCTTTTCACAACAAACAAAAAAACGACTCTGGCTGCAGAGCAGCCGGGTGATGGTGGTGGTGAACTTTACAGGAGGCAGCATCACATTCAGAGCTGCGGATTCCAACAAAATGCAGCTGCACAAGTTTAAGGTGGAACTGACAAAGCCGGTGTGTTTGGGTTTCGGACTCCCATCGAGTGGATCCACCCAGCAGAGCCACTATTGTGAAGGCATCATGATAATCCTGCAGTCTGTGACAACATTCAGCCAAACTACCTGAAAGCTTTTGACTTGCACTAAAACTACAACTCAGAGTCAACTTTAATATTGAAGCATTTTACTGTTTTGTTGTAAAGCGGGTTTTCAATGGTGATTGTCTGGAGGTCTTTATCCCAATGTAAATCATATTTTATAACACATTTTTATTAAAATAAAGAATCTGTTAAATTTTTTTACCTTGATTTAATACTTTTCATAAAAATTTGCTTTTATTTTATCTGAAAACTTAAAAAAAAAATTCTAATTGTTTTACTGTTGAAAGTTTTTTTCATAAACATTCTGTGGACCAATGAGAGAAAAGTGGAACTTTACGGAAGGGTGTGTGTGTCCAGATCCGTCTGGAGTAAAATTGTGTTGACAAAATCACAGCAACAGTCAGACAGTGGTGGTAGTATGATGGCCTGGGGAGTCAAGACACGGTGGTGGTAGTATGATGGTCTGGGGAGTCAGACACGGTGGTGGTAGTATGATGGTCTGGGGAGTCAGACACGGTGGTGGTAGTATGATGGCCTGGGGAGTCAAGACACAGTGGTGGTAGTATGATGGTCTGGGGAGTCAGACACGGTGGTGGAAGTATGATGGTCTGGGGAGTCAGACACGGTAGTGGTAGTATGATGGCCTGGGGAGTCAAGACACGGTGGTGGTAGTATGGTGGTCTGGGGAGTCAGACACGGTAGTGGTAGTATGATGGCCTGGGGAGTCAAGACACAGTGGTGGTAGTATGATGGCCTGGGGAGTCAAGACACAGTGGTGGTAGTATGATGGTCTGGGGAGTCAGACACGGTGGTGGAAGTATGATGGTCTGGGGAGTCAGACACGGTAGTGGTAGTATGATGGCCTGGGGAGTCAAGACACGGTGGTGGAAGTATGATGGTCTGGGGAGTCAGACACGGTAGTGGTAGTATGATGGCCTGGAGAGTCAAGACACGGTGGTGGTAGTATGATGGTCTGGGGAGTCAGACACGGTAGTGGTAGTATGATGGCCTGGGGAGTCAAGACACAGTGGTGGTAGTATGATGGTCTGGGGAGTCAGACACGGTAGTGGTAGTATGATGGCCTGGGGAGTCAAGACACTGTGGTGGTAGTATGATGGTCTGGGGAGTCAGACACGGTAGTGGTAGTATGATGGCCTGGGGAGTCAAGACACAGTGGTGGTAGTATGATGGTCTGGGAAATCAGACACGGTAGTGGTAGTATGATGGTCTGGGGAGTCAGACACAGTGGTGGTAGTATGATGGCCTGGGGAGTCAAGACACGGTGGTGGTAGTATGATGGTCTGGGGAGTCAGACACGGTGGTGGAAGTATGATGGTCTGGGGAGTCAGACACGGTAGTGGTAGTATGATGGTCTGGGGAGTCAAGACACGGTGGCGGTAGTATGATGGTCTGGGGAGTCAGACACGGTGGTGGTAGTATGATGGTCTGGGGCTGCTCTGATGTAAACTAGTGGAACATGCTGAAGGACAATAAATGACCTTTGACCTAAAGCAGGCATGAAAACCCTCCAGTGTGTCTGAATCATTAATTATGTGAGAACCTGGTTCTATCTGTTAAACATCTTAGCTGCACGGCTGGAAGAAACACGAGCTTCACATTTAAACTATTACAGAGGAGACAAAATCTTCACATTTATTAGAAAAAAATACACGAACAATTTTGTAACAAAAACAAAGAAAATGTTTCACATAAACTAAAGGCAGTGTCCAGCCTGAGAAGCCATCGACAGGAACGAAGAGGTTTTCTAAACCTATAACAGCTGCAGGTTCAGTTTTCAAAACATTGAAAAGTTTGGGGGGAAAAAGCACCAAAAACGAGTTAAATGTTTCTGAACATCCTCTGGTAACGTCAACTCGACGTGCTCCGACCTCAGCAGGACAAGAAAGGGACAGTCGTCCTTAAATATGGAAAGTTTTAACAATATTTTGTTATAAACATGTAAAAAAAAACTGTTCAAGTACAAAATAGTGAAAGTTTGACTCATCAGTAGAGGAATATAATCTAACCTGTCGTTTCACAGGTTTGTCATTCAAAACCCATCTAATAACAGTTCTTTAAATGGCCGGTGTGCAGAGGTTTCCATTACTTCACCGTTCCCAGGTTCTGGTTCCTGATGGAGCACCAGGCTTTAAACACGTTTCTGCGAAACAAAAAACGCGTCAAGAGTTCTGAGTTTGAGACAGAAAAATTTAACATTTGCGTGTCAGAGCTGAGCACACCTGCAGTGGGTGGCCACACATTCATTACTGCAGTACTCTTTGTCCCAGTCGTCACTGTCCACAGCTGGGTTGTTGCAGCCGGCCCTCACACACACGGGGGTGGGTTCACTAGACACGCTCACCTCCATCTCATCCTGCAACACACAGCAAAAGGTTTCAAGTCTTCTTACAGCAGAAACATTTTAAACTTAATGTTGACGGTTTTCAGGGACGTCCACCTCGTCTGAATCCAGAACCGTGACTACATCGTCCACCTGATTGCCTGAAGAAGCAGCAGAACCTGCAGCAGCTGAACTGGGTACAATAATTTGTGCCGACTCTTTGCCCTGGAGGGACTGGATGGAGCCGGGAACTATCTTTATCTGGAGCGGAGGTGGAGGAGTAGCTGTGACGGACACAGCGTGGCCTTGATTGGCGCCTCCCTCTTGGGGTTTGGCCTGTAGAGGCGGAGGGGTTGGAGCCATCTGCTGGAGCCGAGGAGGAGGAGGTGCATTCTGCATCTGCTGCAGTGGAGGAGGCTGACGAGGGGTGTTGGAAACCATCAGAGTGGGCTGCAGTGTGTGGACCCCCCCCGGCAGCAGAGTCACCACCTGCCCCCCCGCCTGCAGCATGTGCTTTGGGATGATGATCTTGGTGATGGTCTGGGTTGGAGGCGCGGTTGCTGCAGCAAAAGAGCCTTCGTTTGCTCCAGGGCGGGAACAAGTGGTCATCTCTGGAACGTCCAGGATGATGTTGGAGGCACAAATGTTGGCGATGGTGTTCTCTTCTGGGCTGATGTTGGATGTAGGGGCTGCAGAAGTCAGATCAATGATAGGCGGAGGTGGAGAAGGGGTCAACTCCATCTCGTTAGTGGAACACTGGGAAGAGACGGTAAAACAAACATACATAAGAGGGAATAAAAGCAACAGTTACTCTCCTGTAAAACAACCTGTTACCTGTGACAGCTGGCTGGCTCTGTAAGCTGCCAGCGCCTTTAAATAGTCCTTTTTAGCTGCTTCCGTCTTCCTCTTGTACACCTACAGGAGAACCCCAGTTAAAAGGCGGCATGCTTCTGAATCCTCATTAAAAACATCCACACGGTACCTGTTTCTGCTCCTCTGCCAGGCTGTCCCACATGGAGGCAACAATCTTTGACACTTCTCCAAAGGAGGCGTTGGGGTTCTGGCCCTTAATGGCTACCTGGGTGTCTCTGAAGAACAGCGCGTACGCTGAAACTGGCTTCTGGGGCTCATTGGGATCTTTCTTCTTCTTAACTTTCTTCCCACCTGCTGCTTCAGCCAATGCAGCAGGCTTCACCCCACCCCTCCTGCCTGTGGCAGGGGAGGCAAAGGATGGGGGAGCTGGGTTTAAGGACATGTTGGAGACGACGGAGGAGGACGAAAGAAGCACGGGCGAGTCGACCAGCACACTCCTCTGCGAGGGGAGAGAAAGCGGGAGTTTTCCATCACTTTCCACATCCAGATGTACAGCTTCAGGGTTTAAAACATGTCATATGATGATGGATGTTTCGTTAGAACAGATGCACACGTCTCTGTCCTTACCTTGAAGTCTTCCACGTCTTCGTCCTGCAAGGAACCAGCAGGAGACGGCGTTGCTGACAGCGGCTGCTCAGGCGCCTCCGAGTGATGACCCAGAGTTAGCTCTGACTGGTTGGTCATGGTGAGGTGACTGCTCCCCAGCAGGCCTTGGCCCACGTCACCAAGCTGAACATCGATGGTCACGGGGGGCGAGTGGCTGAAAGGTGAGCCACTGGAGTTTCCCAGTTCCTGGAGAAGGATCAGGGCACACAAGCATCGTAACGCAACAGTAATAGATGTTTATAGATGCCTCACCAGGGAGATACATGGGTTATCATCATTTTTAAGACTGATCATGAGTATAAATAGAATCAACTGATTTTGTAATTTAAAAAAGACTTTCTGTGAATAAAAAAATGTTACTGTTGTGAATTCATACTGAACACAACTAAGTATCAGACAACATTTTGAGGGATATTTCCTTGATTTTCTCCGTCAACAAGCCTTTGCCTCTTGGCTGGTACTCACCAGGGCCAAAGAACTTAGCAAGGGACCCCCTCCAGTTTGGCCCAAAGTCCCCAGGTTCACAAAGTTGGAGGCAAAGGAGGGATCATTGGCCTCTACCACCAGATTGCTCACCAGGCTTTGGGAGCCTGCAGACCCATCTGTCAACTCAAAGTGGGACACAGCATCACTGATGCCCAGGGTGGGGTGTGGATGAAGGGAAATTGGGGGAATTTCAAAAACTTCATCCCCGAGACTAGGTGTGTGAAATGTCTGCTGCATGTGGGAAAAACAGAGAAACTGATCAGTAATTTAAACAATAACAATAAGTAGGTGAACGTTCTCAGGTAAGAAGTTAAGTTACTAACCTCAGCAGACAGAAAGTGATGACCAGCTCCACTGACGCTGAGGTAACTATCCCTACCGCCAGCAAACTACAACAGATCGCTGGCATTAAACTAACACAACAGGTAGTTTAACTTAAATAAATCCACATGAGCGTTACTCACCTTACTCTCCTCCGCGTATTCGCCGTACGCCTGGCTGTCCAAAAACTCCGAATCAACGTTTGAGGAACCATCCGACAAACCAGAATAGAAGTTTAGATCCATGTCAAACTTGGTTACTTCACATGAACGTTCTCACTTTTCATATATAGTTAATCTAAATGGTCTTCCCTGTTTGATTTTCATTTGGGCCAACTGATCAGAACTGCTAGCCGCTAACTAGCCAAACACTGGCGCTCTGCCTCCTCCTGACCGTCAAAGTCCGGGAAATAAAGCTAACTTCTGTTGGATTTGAACTAAAAATTAGAACATTAGAATTTGGGTGATTTTTTGCCAACAACAGACAAACAAACCAAAATTTCTTTCACAGATGTATCGAGGAAATTCCCGTGTGGGCTAAAGTTTACAGAAGGCCTTGACCAAACGCATTGAAACGGCGGAAGCTCATGCTGCGTTCACGTACAGTCAGTAAACGTAAAATAACTTCCATGTCACTTCATTTTCTAGGAGCAATGACCACTTTTATACGTTTTGATAGTTTACGATTTTACATCTGTTTATAATAACATATGGGGTCTCCTTGATGTAATCATAACTAGCACTTATTCCAGATTAGACAACCATAGTTGTTTAAAGAGGAGTAACCCAATGAGATGTGCCATTTTAAACAAAATAAAGAAAACAAAGAAAGCAGATGTTATTAATCCCAATGTCGTAATCTGTATTAAATGCAATTACTAAAATTCCCGAAAAACTTTATAGAGGACTGACATGTTTCCCTGTTTTAAGCTAACGTGTCTGGCATTACTATGGAACTAGGATTGGGACAATATTCAGCGTAACTTGTACCAAGTTTTGTAACATCAAACATGTTTCATCACATGTAACTTTTGATTCGTAACTTGTAACTTTGGATTCGTAACTTGTAACTTTAGTTTTCTAACTTGTAATTCTCAATTCGTACTTGTATTTCTTGTTTTGTAGCAGGAACACGGCATGAGTGTGTACAAAATATTGTGTTTTGTACATGTATTTTTTATTTTGTAAAACCAAACTTTTATTTTGTACATTTACTACTCATTTTGTAACATCAAACATTCATTCAGAATTGATTGAAGCTGACTGACTATTTAAAACAGCAGACATTTACAACAGCCACTGGAAAGTTTGTTCCAATAAACACAACATATGATGTAGATTTTCTAAGTGATTTACTGATGGAAAATGCACCATCACGTATTTATCACAATGGAGCACACTAATAATTGCAGTGATGACGACTGCAAGTCAGAAGCATGTGAACGGATGGAGGTTTGTTTTACAGATGACAACCTTTATTATGAACTTACAGAGTCTAACTCTTGTGAACAGGAGAAATCTGTTCCTACAGAATCTTCAGATAAAGAAGAGAAATCAGATGAACACACAGAGAAAATAGACTACACCACACCATACCATTTATTTAAAAAGCACATTTTAAAACACTGCATGTCTGCTGACCAAAGTGCTGAGGGTCAAACACAGAAAAACAGCAATAAAAAAAACAACACAATAAAACAGAAAAGTCTTTAAAACTGATTTAAAATGAGAGAGGGAAGAGCAAACATGAACGCTCGCTCACCCGCGATTTACATCTCATAGGTGGTACACAGAGCAGCAGACGGTCAGTTGACCTCAGAGCCCAATTTGGCATGTAGGGACTGATCAAGCCAGAGAGACATCCTGGGGCAGAGCCATTAAAAATCTTAAAGACAAAGGTCAGGAGCTTGAACTTGACATGTAAGTTCACAGGTAACCAATGCAGATGTACCAGAACGGGTGTGATGTGGGAACGCCTGTTAGTGTTTGTCAGGTACCTGGCTGCAGCGTTCTGAACCACCTGGAGTCGATTTAGAGCTGAAGCTGAAACACCAAACTTGGTATAATCGTAACAGGAAGTAATAAAAGCATGAATGACAGATTTTAAGTGCGGCCACTTCAAAATCGATTTTAGACGTATTAGACGCCGCAACAAGCCTTCCCCGGAACTGTGCTGCTCTGGGCGGCTGCATATTGGAGTAGCTCTGTTGACTATATGTAAGTTTAGCCTTTTCTTGGGCATTTTTTCTTCTAGTTTCTCAAGAAAAACAGTATTTTTTTGGACACTTTACTTTTCTGTTCCTGGTGCTGTGAAGATTGGAGGATTTTTACTGTGTTTTTTTTAGCTTTTTTCACTTTTTGAGCATTTGTTATGATGCGTAACCATGGCAACAAGCTGTTTACAATCGGGAGCAGCTGATTAACATTGGAAAGGCTAAAATAATACCTCAACTGAAGCCACAAATCCCAAATGAGCTAAAACGTAAAAAGCGTGGGTGCAGAGCGGGAGCAAAACGGAGACAGAGAAGGAGGAAATTCAAACCATCTCTTCCATCGATCATAATGGGCAATGTGAGATCATTGGCCAACAAGATGGAGGAACTCCAAGCCCTTTCAACGACTCAGCCAGAGCTTCGGCAGTTTCGGAGCCGCTGGAGGAAATAATGCAAAGAAGGATTCTCCAGAGAATCAAGAAAATGATGGACAACCCTGAGCATTCTCTTCACAAGACTGTCAGACAACGGAAGAGTGTCTTCAGTCAGAGGCTTCTTCAGTTTCACTGCAACACTGACCGCTACTGGAGATCCTTCCTGCCAACAGCCATTGATACAATAACTCTTTGATGACTTGATTATTATTATTATTCTGAGCTACTACAGCAATCAATTTCCCTCTGGGATTACTAAAGTATTTTTGAATTTGAATTGAATTGAACCACAGCATTTATCTAATGTACCATCGTGATACCTGGCTGCATCAAGATTTACCCCAAGGCTAGTCACACACTGCTTTGGGCTAAACCAGAGAACAGGAGTGACAGGAGAAGAATGGGATTGATCCATAAGAATGACTTCTGTCTTAAGCTCATTTAACTTCAGAAAATTGTTCAACCAACTCCTGACCTTGGCTAAGTACAGGTGCTGGCCAGTAAATTAGAATATCATCAAAAGGTTGAAAATATTTCAGTAATTCCATTCAAAACGTGAAACTTGTACATTATATTCATGCAATGCACACAGACCAATGTATTTCCAATGTTCATTACATTTAAATTTGATATTCATAAGTGACAACTAATGAAAACTCCAAATTTGGTATCTCAAAAAATTAGAATATTCTGAAAAGGCTGAATATAGAAGACACCTGCTGCCACTCTAATCAGCTGATTTACTCAAAACACCTGCAAAGGCCTTTAAAAGGTCCCTCAGTCTTGTTTTGAAGGCACCACAATCATGGGGAAGACATCTGACTTAACAGCTGTCCAAAAGACAATCATTGACACCTTGCACAAGGAGGGCAAGACACAAAAGGTGATTGCTAAAGAAGCTGGCTGTTCGCAGAGCTCTGTGTCCAAGCACATTAACAGACAGGCGAAGGGACGGAAACAATGTGGTAGAAAAAAGTGTACAAGCTCTAGGGATAACCGCACCCTGCAGAGAATTGTGACGACAAACCCATTCAAAAATGTGGGGGAGATCCACAAAGAGTGGACTGCAGCTGGAGTCAGCGCTTCAAGAACCACCACGAGGAGACTCATGAAAGACATGGGATTCAGGTGTCGCATTCCGTGTGTCAAGCCACTCTTGAACAAGAAACAGCGCAAGAAGCGTCTCGCCTGGGCCAAGGGCAAAAAGGACTGGACTGATGCTGAGTGGTCCAAAGTTATGTTTTCTGATGAAAGCAAGTTCTGCATTTCCTTTGGAAATCAAGGACCCAGAGTCTGGAGGAAGAGCGGAGAAGCACAGAATCCACGTTGCATGAGGTCCAGTGTAAAGTTTCCACCGTCAGTGATGGTGTGGGGTGCCATGTCATCTGCCGGTGTTGGCCCACTCCGTTTCCTGAGGTCCAGGGTCAATGCAGCCGTCTACCAGGAAGTTTTAGAGCACTTCATGCTTCCTGCTGCTGACCAACTTTATGGGGATGCAGACTTCACCTTTCAACAGGACTTGGCACCTGCACACAGTGCCAAAACCACCAGCACCTGGTTCAAGGACCATGGTATCCCTGTCCTTGATTGGCCAGCAAACTCGCCTGACCTTAACCCCATAGAAAATCTATGGGGTATTGTGAAGCGGAGGATGCAATACGCTAGACCCAACAATGCAGAGGAGCTGAAGACGACTATCAGAGCAACCTGGGCTCTCATAACACCTGAGCAGTGCCACAGACTGATCGAGTCCATGCCACGCCGCATTACTGCAGTTATTGAGGCAAAAGGAGCCCCGACTAAGTATTGAGTGCTATACATGCACATTCTTTTCATGTTCATTCTTTTCAGTTGGCCAACATTAGAGAAACAAACATTTTTTCATTGGCCTTTAGAATATTCTAATTTTCTGAGATACCAGATTTGATGTTTTCATTGGTTGTCACCTATAAATATCAAAATTAAACGTAATAAACATCGGAAATACATTGGTCTGTGTGCATTGCATGACTATAATGTACAAGTTTCACGTTTTGAATGGAATTACTGAAATATTTTCAACCTTTTGATGATATTCTAATTTACTGGCCAGCACCTGTATTTATCAAGAGAGTGGGCATTTGAGTCATTCATGGCCGGGTAGATTGACTATCATCTCATAAATATGGTAACCAAGGCCATATTTCTTCAGGATTTTGCCTAAGGGGAGGATATAAATTGAAAACAGACACCAACATCAATGATATTTGTCATGTGTGTGCTGATTTAAAGATGCATAAATAATAACACAAAAGAGCCTGTAATTAAAGTCGGCAAAAAGTTTTCCTCTGAAATTGAAAGTGAGATTAAATTACTACAGTTTTTTTCAAAATCAGGGTCTTCATTTGCACAACTTTGGTAGGTTTATTGAACATTTTAACAGTGATGATTGCTACGGGACTGCTAAACATGAGAATACTCCACTTGCCTCTTTATTTGTTGTGTTCCATGTCCTTTCTATGTAATTTCGTAGTTCATGAACCATTAGACACGACTCTGAGGCAGTTTATGGAAAAAAGAAAGTCCGTTCCTATGCCAGCGGCTGAAACCAGAGCCATTGCTGACTCTCAGCATGATGAAACACATGGGAGTCACCCACACAGAAATGTGTTTGTAGATCACGAATCACAGCCGTTCAGGGTGATTTTACATCACATACTGAAACGTCTGATCAATTAGAGCCTTATGTGATTCAGTATAATAGACACAGCGAGCCGGAGGTCGTCCATATGGACGATAAAGTGGATGTATGGGGTCTTGGCCGTGTTATTTTCTCTCTATCTTGGTTGGAATCTTTTTCCAGCATTTGAGGATTTTGATGTTTTGAAGAAACTTGAATTCCATGACCTTCCTGACAAAAAACTATTGACTCAAAAGTGGCAAGCGGATTATTATTTTTTAGGGATATAGAAATGTAAAGAGAAATTTATTAAAAGCTTCTACAAAGAGACATTTTTTTATGTAAACAGTATTCGAAATATCAAATGCACACAGAAAAGAGGATTCCCTGACACAAACGATCCAATTGAAAAAGAAGATCCAAAAGAAAAATCGGACATATTCCCAGCAGAAAGAAACGGACTCGCATCTTGTTGAGGTTAAAACAAAGAGGAAGCATTTAGAGGGCGTTAGAAACACTTTCTCCCAAATGTTCAAACTCATAAAGAGCTGCTTTTGACAGATAATTCCACCCATCCATCCAGCCACACTGGAAGGAAGTAGTGTAGTTATAATGACTCTTTGATGCCACGCCGGTGCCATGATGAAGGTTGGCAAAAAGACTGTTTACACACATTTAAACTCTATTAAAGCTAGTCAAAACAAGGCAGTTTGTTCACTTTTGTCCCTTTTATTTAGTTGACTTCACAGCAAAATGGTTAATAGTGTGCTGTGTGCAGCTGGCTGCACTAACAGGCAAGAATGTAAACTCAGCTCACCTTTTTTTATTTCACTGATGGATAATGAGGACAGAGATGAACCGCAGCAATCAAACAAACTAGCAGCCCTCAAAGTATGCTCAGATTTGCTGCAAACACATTTTACCAGGTAAGGTGAACGTTAAAATCTTTCATGATGGAGGCGGAGACTATGGGCCCATATATGGGCAGGCCCATTGTTCTTCACCAGAGGCTTTGTTATTGGCAGTGTGCACCCCCATAAATGTTGCATCAAAATGACCAGCTCGGCCGTAGGAAGTGTGGTATTTCATGACTTTTGGGTGATTGTCCCAACGTCACCCCAAAACCATAGTTTTAAGATGATTACCCCAGCATCATCCCAAGATTTATTTATGCATTCATGCCCCATTGCAACTTGAACGGGGCTGCACAGTGGCGCAGTGGTTAGAGCTGTTGCCTTGCAGCAAGAAGGTCCTAGGTTCGCTTCCCAGCCTGGGATCTTTCAGCATCTCCTTGTGCATGCGTGGGTTCTCTCCGGGTACTCCGGCTTCCTCCCACAGTCCAAAAACACGTCAACATTTTAGGTTGATTGGTCTGTCTAAATTGTCCCTAGGTGTGAGTGTGTGTGTGCATGATTGTTTGTCCTGCGTTGCCCTGCGATGGACTGATTCTCTGTCCACGGTGTACCCCGCCTGATTGCCCATTGACCGCTGGGGATAGCCCCCCCCCCAGGACCCTACGTGGACAAAGTGGGTTCAGACAATGGATGGATGGATGGCAACTTGAACGGCAGCGTGCACCACCTCAAACGTTACCTCACGACGACTGGCTCGGCCATGGGAAATGTGGTATTTCATGACTTTGGGAAAGGAAGTGGAGCCGAGAGGGACAGAGCAAATGATTGACACTCATAAACTCTGAACCAATGTAGCTACGAGCTAATCTGAAGCACGGAGCTTGGAGCCGAGTTACGAACTACCTGAGTGAACTTGAAGCTAAGAGGAAGCTTACAGAGTTTTTCAGGCACTTTTAGCCAGATAAACACGGTTGAGAAACTCAGAAGTGAGACATGCATCGATTCTGTGGTCCCCCTCAGAGAGCTCCAGTGTTGGCCCAGGACACCAAATGGGCTAGGACTGCCCCTGTGTGTGTGTGTGTGTGTGTACACTGTTTAGTGGTTGTCCCCCGCCTAACTACTCATGCCAGAGACATCACTGCGAGGCATGCAGAGCTGCCAGCCAGGCCAAATAAATGTCAACATCTTAACTCAATTTCATTCCCACATTTGTGAAACAAAAAATACTTTTTCACAAATCAAATAAAGGTTTCACATATCACAAACTACATTTAACAGATTAGTGTGGAATAATCTGGTCTAGGTGTGAAGAGTCCATCTTGGGGGTCTTGGATACAAACTTTAAAACGCATACAGAATAACTCCAACATTAAGTATTGAATACTGTTACTGGGATTTTGTAAATGTAATTTTTACAAATATAATCTTACAACTCAGATTTTTGGAAGCACATTCCCACCATTCAGACTAAAACAAATACAGTTATGACTTAACCGTGATTATATCTATAAAAGATTATTTTATTTCTATCTGAGTGGCAGGAATGGGCTTCCATAGTCATGCCCAGCGCGTCTGCTGACTTTAAAGTCTAATTAGCTTACGATTACTACTCAGGTTTAACCACTCAGCGAGTTTTCTACCATTTGCTTCCTTAATTTAGCTAATTCGGTGCGGCAACATCTCCAGACAATAAAGATGGATGCTCGATGCTTTCTGATGTTTGTGGTTTTGTTGCACATTCTTAAAGAACATAATGCAAACCCATGACTACATGTATACTAATATATTTGATAGGAATGTAAGTTTTGCATTAGTGACTGCATTTTTCTGTTCCAGCTACCGTGTTTCAAAGAGGATTACAAAGTCAAATCAACCAGGAGCTAATAAAGGTTTTCATCTATAAACACTAAACATACTGAAGTTGGAATGAAATCCAGATGAAAATCACAATTCACACACAGCTGTTTGTTCACTGTAGTTTGCTGTTATTCATATCACAGATACAGTCAGGTCATAAAACAATAGTAACTCACTGCCGCCAACGTTGCACCATGGTACACAAGTGACGAGCTCTACATTGTACATTAAATCCATCCTCCTAGCACTTCTTCAGTAACTAATACGTCACCATCCCCTCTCCCACCCACACCCCTCCCCCCCACAAAGTGAAAACACTAACGATACACGGGAGCCCCTTCAGTTCAGACAACCAGAGGGGACTGGTGGGGGGGTAGTGGGATCTGGCTCTGCTCAGTACAAGTGCCCAGTTTTATGTAGCGCTAGAGGAGCAGCTTTGAGGTTTGTTTTTGTGGATATGAAAAGTGTTTCTGTACAGCAAGGGTCCCCTTTTGGTCACACATGGGAATGTGATGGTATTCATGGGTTTGGATGGAAGAGAAGGGGAACGTCGAGTGAAAAGGAAACAAATCTCAGCTTTTTGCCATTTTGTCAGAGGTTTGACAAAGATATAGAGAAGGATGCAACAAAATGAAGGTGAAGAAACTAAGTCATAGGTGCAAACCCGCTCCTCCAACAGAAAAGTCCTGAATAAAACAAACAAATAGAAAAAGCAAAATGAAAAACAACATTAATGCATAATTTGTTACACAAAGGTTTAAAGAAATGAGGAATAACATGATTTGTTTCTGAATGGGTATTGAGTCAGCGTTTCGGGGGAGGGGTTCAGTCCTCGGAGCTCGATGAAGAGTCAGAGTCCTTCTGCGCTACGATCACATCCTCTAATAGAGCTTCTTGATCTGAGCTGTCATAGTCGCCCTGGGAAAGGCTGTCACCGCCCTCCATTTTCACGTCATAGTCCGGACTGGTGAGGAAGTGATGGGACGTCTCCAGGTCTTCCTCATCCATCATGTAAGCTCCATCTGACACCAACGTCTCCTCCTCAACTGCATCCAGGTTGGGGTCTTCAGGGGTGGGCTCTGGAGTGTGGTAGTGATGATGGTGGTGATGGTGGTGGTGGTGGTGACGCCGACGACTTTTCTTCGGAATCTCAGAGCTCTCCGTCAGCAGGCGGTGGAAGAAGGATTCAGGCAGTAAGCCCTGAAGGAAAAGGATGTATCGTTAAAAACTAAAAGTAACTAAAAATCACTAAAGTAACTAAACAAAGTATCAGCGAAATTTAAGTAAAAATCAAAGCTACATTTGTGAACGACTGTTGCCGTATTTACAAATAAACAAAGACTCGTACAGAGTTTCGAACCGTGTCGGACCACTCGGGCGCAACAGCAATGTCAGGATTCTCCTCCAGATACTCCCTCAGCTCTTGCAGCATCGGGCAGAAGGCGGCACCAACCTGTCGAGAAACGTTTAAACTTCAGATCTATGCAGCACAGAACAACATCTCCTCCAAACTGGAGCTCTGACCAACCTTCTTCCCTGTTCTCATGTTGATGAGTTTAACCTTCTCAGTCCCTGTGAGGGCCTTATCGGCCCTCCTCCTCCTCTTCCTCTTACTTCTGTTGACCAGCAGCTAAAACAAGACATGACGTCATACGCTACACCACCATGTGACTGAGTCTTTGTTTATGGCAATGGATTTACCTCCAGCATGTCTCCTTCCACCTCGTATTCGGGATTCTCTTTCAACCATATTGGAGGGTCCCTTCGGCGAGGCGTACGCTCCAACGCATCACGGAGTCCGTCCAGGTCTGTTAGCTAAAAACGGAGAAGAAATGTTTAACTCAGCTTTATTTTTGATTTACAGACGAGCTCTTTAAGTTTCACAAACCTCCTGATCCTTTCGCTTCTTGCGGCTGCTCTCCCCCCCCGACCCGTTGGGCATGAGAGCCTGCTTAGAGAAGGTCAGCTTGAGGCCCTCCTCCTGTTGGGATGACAACCAGAACTCGGATTAAACTACACAACAGCTGAAGTCTCAGGTCCTTCCTGCATCACATCATCCACCAACGCCTTAAACATGGCGCCATCGAGTGCTTCTGTAATCTAGTCCTTCAGGCACGTCTGCTACAGAGAACGAGCTACGGTGAGCATCAGGGGAAGGAGCCAGTAGGACACCAACTGAGTTGTCTTTATCTGCATCGTCATTATCAGCCCGACAATTTTCTTGTGTAGAACATGGAAACAGTTTATTATAACGGCAGGAAATGATGACTTAAGCCACTGCTTTACTTTAAAACTTTAATTTTACCTATGAAACATGTTTGAACTTGGTTATTCTTGCATTTCACTTGTGTAACACCGTGTGCCTGCAGCACAAACAGAGGATTTCTCACAACTAAACCTGATTTACACAAACTTTTATTCTGAAAAACCAGTAACTGAATCAATTTAAACTTGATGAGAGGCAAGTTGGCTAAGAAGTTAGGAAAGATATTAATGGATGATTGAGCAAATTGTCATGGAGAACTGAATTATTAGCTCACTGCTTGTGTGTGGGGTGTGTGTGTGTGTGTGTGTGTGTGTGTGTCCGTTGACTTGTGATGAGTTAAAGAAAAACACCACAAAGCTTAACCTATGTTCAGATGTATAAAAAGTTGGTTTAAAACAAAACTAATGCTCTTGTTTAAGCCTCAGACTGATTACCTTGAGGAGTTTTACCGTAAACTCTCCATCCTCTCCGTCCGTCCCAAGGACGCTTGGTACGCTGCTGGGTTTACGGATCACCCTGCTGTAGGCCATCTCCTCTCCACCGAGCTCTGAGCCAGGGTGGAGCTGAGCTTCAGACACGTAACGCCGCCCTGATGGCCACTGACCTGTCAACACTAGAGTACATAAACTGTCCAGGCGGTTGATCAGCACTCGGTCCTGAGATGGCAAAGAAACCAAGAGTTAGTTGCTCATCGTTAAAGGTGTGGAACACTCGTTTAATAAATACATGTGCAGTGGCCTCTAGTAGGATTAAGTGCCTTGTAAAGCCTGATCTCTACTTCTCCGTGAGCTCCGCAACACGGAGAGTTGGAAAGCTTTTCACATTTGAACTTCAGTTCAGGCGGCGGAGTGTTACAAAGCAATTCCCCGCCAGGACAACAGAGGGCGCAGCGCTGTTCTGTGGTATCCTGCCACCATAACACTCATGTATCTGGTCCACGATGGTGCATTTACTAATGTAATGTGTTTATATTTTTCAAAGACGGACAAATTTGTCCTTAATTCTCCTCCGCCTCTTCATGCGGTCGTCACCTCTAAACCCACATTTCCTGTCTTTTCTGTTCACGTTTGCTCCATATTTTGTGCTCCTTCAGTCACGGGTGAATAAACGTTCATATTTTCTGTGATGTGTTTATCAAGCTGTTCGGGGTCTGTCGCTTAATATCTTTTTACTTTTTAATGGGACAACGCCAGTGCTGGTGACGAATTTAAAAGAAACGGCGTCCTGACCAATCACAAGCTTGCGGTCTCAAGTCACTTTCGATGGATGTTTAAAATTTGGGGCATTTCTCCGTCACCCTCTGTGAGAACGCCGGAGAGGCCCTGCACCAACGCGTAACGGCGCTGCGTGTCCGCACCAACGCAGAAGTATAAATCAGGCTTTAGAGGCGCCTATTTCAGCATAGAGAATTCAGCTGGAGGAGAAAGTGGCTTCAGACGACAGGATCTGGACTTATTAACCGATATTTGGACATCCCGCCTCTGATTGGCTAACAGTAATGTGACTCCACCACTGACTCCGTTTGCTCTGCAATGTTGATGTTTTATCTCCACAAATAACAATCTTGAAAGAGTTCTGCTGTGTGGTGGAGTTCCTAATGCTAACGATTAGCCTCTACAAGCCTAGATGCTCTCTGCTATTTCCTGGACGAACAGCCTTCCCTGTCGTGAGCCAACATGGACGAGTCTATGAATGTTAAGTGACAGTGTGACGTAGATCTGTCAGGATTTTCAAATCCTAGAATTTTACCGTCTATTTCCTGTCAGAAGCTAATGCAGGAGATAAAGTTAAAGACTATTTTCATGTTAAGCCTGCATGAAGGACTCAGAATGGCCAATTATAATTAGAAAGAATCAATAAATGATGTTTTTTAGTAAAAGTTTTTGGTCTCCAGCAGCGGCAGAGCCTGATGTATTTAGTTAGAATTACCTTTGGCCAGTCCACTCTAAGGGGGTCAGGAGGAGATATACTGTCCTGAGAAGGAGTCATGGAGAGTAAACTGTTATCTTCATCCACATCTCCCACCTTCATACCTCCTGGAAGAAAGAAAAGTCAAACGTTAACCAAATATTTGTTGGTTTTTTTGTTGTCGTATTGAACATTTATTTTTTGAAACTTACCTCCTACGTCCTCATCACTGTCTCCGCTGTCGTCGCTGCTACCCGAGCGCCCTGAGGAGGACGAGCCTGAATCAGAGTCTGAATCAGAATCAGAACCTCCCTCACCCTTCCTCCCTCCTCCGGTTTTTTCTCCCCTTTCTCTGCTCCTCTTGAAGTTCCAGCCCTGACTGTGGCCTTTCCCCGCGTGGTGGCTCAGGGGTGTACTTTGCAGTTCTGCACCAATTTCATCTCCAAACAACTGCACGCCCAAATCACTTCCCTCCTCCTTCACTCCAGGTGAGTCCACCTCAGTCTTGGGCTGGCTGAGGCTCATGATGGGTGGTGGAGGGGGTGGTGGTGGTAAAGACTGCTGGTTCTGGACGAACTCTTCACGGGCAGAACTGAAAGTGAACTGTGTGTCTGGGTAGATGGAGAGCTCGGTGCGACTGACGCCATGAAGCGAAGCACCGAGCATCAGGTGATGGTCGTGTTCTGGTATTCTCCACCAGGTGGGCAGCTCAGAGGTGCGTGGGGCCAGTAGCAGGCGCTCCTCGAGGGCGGGGTGAGGCAGGACGCGTTCCCGCAGGCGGCGCAGGAGGCTGATGCGGTAAAGGGTGCGTGAAGCGCGCTCCTCTGTGATAGGGGCCACAGTCTGGGGTATCTCTGATACATCTGGGAGTTCAGATCACATCAAGTCAACATGTAAAACAAAAACTTCTGAAATGTAAAGAAAATGAAATAAAAATTTTTTTTCTGACCTTCAATACGACCCGGGCGGAGGTGGCACACCCTCCGACACATGGCAACAAAGGAGCGGAAATACCGACTCAGGCTTTCATCCGTTTTCTTATCCAAACGAGCAAAAGTACGGAAACGGGTCCAGTCAAACTCCGGCTCTGCTGCCTCCTGGTACCCTGGATCCTTTTTAATCTTTTCTACTCCGAACGTTGAAACCACGCGGTAGAAATCACACTCCTCCCGCCGAGTCCACCTAGACACGGAGAAACGATATTTATTGACCTGATTCTACATAAACTCTGAATCTGACAACTAAAAGTAAAAAGGAAATAAAAACTAAGCTATTGTACCGTTGCTGTCTCTCCTGACGAGCGATCTCCTTCAGCTTGCTGGCCTGTTCGCACCGCCGACGCCTGCGGTCGCCTTTGGCCTCGGCCTCTATCTTCAGCTGCTCCTGTCTGTAGCTGCGTTGGTACGCCGTGATCAGCCGCCGTAGTCGTGCCGTTAGCGACGAGCTAGAGGGCCAGTCGCACACACCGCTTTGACTGATGACGTTCTCTGTGACGATGGCTTCCACCTTATCTTCCACTGAAACCTCATCCTCTACGTTCATAGAGTCAGGCTGGAGGAAAAGGCCGAAGTCAAGTTTTAACACTTGGGCTGATTTCTAAACATTCATTTGCAGACGGAACAAAAGGACGTGTACCTCTTCAAAAGGATCTTTGGCGTGTCGCGATGCTGGCTTGAACTCTGGATCTTCTGAGTATTTATCATATTCAGCCCTGAGCAACGAAAAAACCCTCTTCAGTTAAATCTTTGATCAACAGCATTTATCATTTTACCGATTTTATTTTTTATTAATGCTTAAAATGGCCGACTCAAATGCTTTGATTGTTTTATTTGTTAGTAAAATGAACAAAATACAGTTTAGGAAGTGGACTTCTTCATTTTCACCCCAAAGAAAAACCGAGGACAAGAAATTATCTGCAAATACTTAAAGAATCCCTAAAATAAACAAACACATTTAAATAAATACTGCAAATGTTTTGCTCAAGAGTTGTTCCTATTACTCATTTAAACTATTAAACTAACATCATCATTTAACAGTTTGATGAAAACAAAGTAAAGGTATGACGGCTTTTTAGGTGCTCGTCTTTGACCTTCTCAGTCACCTTACAATGAAAGACTCCAACCAGTGGCACAAATAAGCATTACATCAATAATTTGAGTGATATTTAATCTGAAGATCATAACTGGATATTTAATTTAACAACTTATGTTTTAGGAGGATAAAACCCGCTTGAGACAGGGCATCTCGATTTCAAGCGAGTCCTTCTAGCATACAACAAACAAAGTGTTAATAAGCAGCGTATCAAAAATAAAAAAAAGACAATTTATTTTAAATAAATCCTGTCGTGGATTTCAAGTAATTTATTTACAAAGCTGTTTAATCAAGTTTTATTTAGACCTTCCAAAGAGGAAATCTTCACTTCTGCTGCTTGAAGTCACTCAGCTGAGTGAGATCAGATGAGGAACACAAACGCCGTCTCACAGCACCGAGCGATCGGACGACACGAAAAGCAGACACGCGTCAGATTATAGTCATTACGGCTGAAACGATTCCTCGAGTACCTCGAATAATTTGAGTACAAAAAAGCCTCGAGTCAAATTCTCTGCCTCGAGGCTACGTTTAATTAATTCATGGCTTTGCAGTCCCCCGGGGTCATGTTTCACCCGGACCGAAATTAGTGACGCACATACACACGCGAGTAGCGAATATCAGTATTATACTATTAGTATAATAGTAACTTAACTTTCTCTTTAAGCCATGGCGGACAACGTGGACCCCGGTGGAGTGCGAAAAAGACAGAAAATGTCAAAGGTGTGGGACCATTTTTCACTCCGTAAGGCGTTTACACGTAAATGTCACTTCTGCAAGCGGACTCCGAGGTCCGCTATATATTCTGCGGATACTGTGCGACTTTTTAATTTGTAGCACTTAGTTTTAGCTCACATTGTGCTTCTGGTAGCAACACGTCGGACCTAAAAATGTGCTAAAACAGCCGTTTTTACACAACACGTCAGAATTTTTATTGTGTTGTTATTGGCGTCTGTTGTCCCTCGGGACTGCTGCAGGACGACAGTACACCGGTATTTGAGAGGAACACAAAATAAAGTAAATAAATGTTTTGTGATAAGTATAATTTGACATAACCACGGCAAACGTGCTTTCTCTACAATCCTTGTTATTGTGTGTGAGGGAAGAAAAAAAAGTGTAGAAATTTAAACGGACGTGTGTTAATAGGGAAACAGCTGGCCAGCTGTGTTTGCGCATGCGCCGTGAGCGGTTCTGGTGCTGTTTGGGCCGCAGCCGCTCGCAGCGCTACTTGTCGCACGAGGGGAAAAATCGGCTCAGGTTGTATACTTATTTTATGTACATGCATTTGTTTACTGTGAAGTAAAGTTGAGGTGCTGAAGTTTTGAAAACTAATTTTGAATATAACTTGAAGAATAACTGGCAATTGCGTGCTCATTTTAAGAGCTCTTTCATGATTTATAACATGCTATTTGATATAATGGTTTACAAACACAAAAGGGCAATTTATTAGAGTACTCGATTAATCGATAAAGGGTTCGATAGAGTACTCGATTACAAAAATATTCGATAGCTGCAGCCCTAATAGTCATCCCACAAGATTTAATTAAGCCCAAGATTACTGTTGAATAATATTAGAACCACAAAACCAGTCTCCGCTACCTTGATGCTAACCAAGTACAATGAAGGTTACAGAATGATGCTGCTATGAAAATGTGAGGGGTCCCGTTTGAATATCAGCAGTTAGAACCACTTTCTAATCACAAAAGTAGAATTTATGAAAGGCAGAACAAAGCAGCGGTAACTTACTCATCCCCGAGCTCCGCGTCACCGGTTTGCTGCTCAGCATCAATGGCTTTGTCGTCAGGCCGACCGACTCTTTCTATGAAGCAGAGGCAGGGATCGGCTCGCATGGTGGTGTACATCTCATAACCTGGTAACCAGTTGCAAAATCAGATCAGTTAAACGCCAACGTCTTTAAAACAAATATCAAGTCCCAGCATCAGGAAACGGTTCAGTCCAACAGGAACCAAAAAAAGTCAGCCTTCATTTTTTTTAATAAGTAACTCTACCATGTTTGAAAACACCAGCAAGAAGTGAGCGGTCTGCATCAGCGTCCCACCACACAGCAGGCACCTCCTGCTGCTCCATCTCTGGCATCCAGATGTCCACGTCCCTAAAGACAAACGGCGTCTCAGTAACCGAATCTGAACCTTTAAATAAAACAGGAAGCATCAAATACCTGATCTCAGCTCCTTTCAAGACAGCGTCTGCATGTTCACCAATAACCTCCTGTTTGAGGTAGTAGAGCATCCGGACCCTCAGCAACACTCTGACAACGGAGGAAACATCTCAGCTCAAATCAAAGTCGTTGACATGAACCAGCGTCTGACTGGCCTCACTCACTTGTTGCACTGGTGCTTCAAGTGTTTTCTGTAGCTGTCATCAAGCAGCAGAGTGTCAGGGTTGTACTTGCGGATCCACTCAACCTTCTGCACATCAAACGTACTCTGAGCCTTCACCCTCTTTCCCTTCCTGCCTCTTGGAACGGGGATGGAAAGGCCTGAATAAAAAAAAAAAATACACAAAAACATGTCAACAGTTCATTTAGTCTTCTGATTTAACTACTGAAAAGAGAAAATGACAGCCTCATACCAGAGTGGTTTAGTAGTGTTTGAGGCTCTCGGCCATTCTCTGGAGGAGTGATGAGCTCCCAGATGAAACTCTTGATGTTCTCATCACCACGATAGTGCAGCAGACAAAAGACCAGGATGACACGGCAGATGGTTTCCACGTCACGCTCACTCAGACGCCTCTTACATCTGGCATGAGACAAGATGTCCCTCCAGCGACCCCACCTACAGCAGATCAAACCCGCAAGGCAACGTCAACAAGACCGCTTAACATCGAAATAAAAGGGAAACACCATGTTCGCACCCATAGACCAGCAGGTGTTTCTCCACCCGGAAACAGTCGGTGCGTCCGTATCCTCCTCCGCTGTGGCGATCAGAGCGGCGAGAAGCACGCGAATGTCTAGAATTAGCAGGTGGATATTCGTCATCACTCTCTAGATCTGACAGGTCTCCACCTTCGCCACGTAAAGTGGAGAACTGACGGGTCTGCTTGCGAATCCTGGGGGTGTCGATCACCAGTGTGTTCTGCAGGGGGAGGGAACAAACTGATTTAGGAGGATATCCATCTGTGTGAGCCATAAATCTCTCCATTAAAATCAAACACCAAAGCGTCACCTTCTGATTGATAGAATCCATGTCTATATCTGCTTTCTTGGCCCACTTCTCCCAGAATTCAGGATCATCGAGGGCGATGTCATTGCGGTTCTCAGAGGCCACAAAGCTGGCTTTGGAGAAAGTAGAGCCCTTTCCTTCACTCTCAATAGTGATGGTGGTGGCTCGTCGCTGAAGGATCTGGTCAATATCTTCCTCACAGAACCGGCTGCCTTCATCATTCTCATCCATGATGGCGGCATAGGCTCCTTTCCTCAACAGATCTTCAATCTCCTTCTTGGAAAACTGTTGGAGCTGTTAAACATGACATTAAATTGTTTAGACAAGAGATCCAATGAGACGTGACGTGAGCAACCAGCCTAGCGAGTCGTTACCCCGTTGACGCTGCTGTCTTTGTTGCCGCTCATGCTTTGAAGGACAGCCCGGTCCAATCCGAGCTTCAGACTCGCTTTGTCCAGCATCTCCCTCTCGTAGGAGTTCCGGGTGATGAGACGGTAGACTTTGACCGCTTTTGACTGTCCAATACGATGACACCTCGCTTGGGCCTGAAAAAAAAAAGAAGGGAAAAAGGTGTGGAGGCAGAACAGAAAGCTTTAAAACCCTTCGTTAGTACATCACAATACCTGCAGATCATTCTGAGGGTTCCAGTCAGAGTCAAATATGACACAAGTGTCAGCAGCAGTCAGGTTGATGCCCAGACCACCAGCACGAGTACACAGGAGGAAGACAAAACGATCAGAGTCTGGCTTGCTGAAGCGATCGATGGCTGCCTGTCGCAGGTTCCCACGCACTCTACCATCAATTCGTTCATAAAGGTACCTGGAGAAATACAAAACCCATGAAGGTTTCTTCAAAGTTTCCCCAAACTTTCAATAATGTCAAAGTTACTTTGCACCATCAAGAGATAAAATACGATGTGTGTAGATGTTTATACCTCTTGTTGATGAGGTAGTCCTCGAGGATGTCCAAGCAGCGCACCATCTGGGAGAAGATGAGCACTTTGTGGCCTCCAGCCTTCAGACGGGGCAGCAGCTTATCGAGAAGCACCAGTTTCCCAGCTGACCGAATCAGGGCTTGCAAATGAAAGTCAGGGGCCAGGGGGTCATACACCTGCCGCAGCTCCGCCACGATCTTCTCCTCTGCGCCTGAACAAGGAAAAAGGAAACAGTAATTAATTGGGTAGCTGATTTTTTAAAAGATGTTAGGCCGTACTAGTGCTGCCACGATTAGTTGTTACGTCATGATGACGTCAACAAACAAAACAGTCGGTAATAAATTGAAGTCAACGTCATTTATTCTATGAAGCGTTTTATAAATTTTGCCCGCTGCAGCACCACTGCTGCTTTCTGCCTTTTTGTTCGAGGCACATGTGGCCGCCCAGCTGAGCCGTCGCGTCACTGGAAAAAACAAGACTTGGCAAGCCGGCAACGTAGCTCAAAAGTTTGGAGCACTTTACAAAGACAAAAGAGAAGCACGTACATTTAAATCTTGTCACGGGAGCATGTTCATGCACGAATACCTTCAAAGGAAGCTCGTCATGGCGGAGAACAAAGACGGACAGTCGCCTCTGTAAGCTAATTACTTCTCATTAGCTGCTAACATCAACAGGGAGCTACTTGTGTTCATAGCTGTAGCAACAACAGTAATGATGGCAATTTCGTGACCTTTAGCACACGTATGTCACCTATTTGCTCTTACGTTACAAACGCCAACGATTGATTGTATCTCGCTACCTTACAGCATTAAAAAAGCGCTCGACGAGTTTGTTACCTAGCCAACATGCACACGTCGACAAGCAAAGGTTCTGACCGGGCGATTTTAAACATGTTGGTGACGGACATGAGAGCCCTGTTGTTTTATAAGCTTGCACATAACGGATCACACTTGAAACTAGAAACTAATGATGGCTGAATTAGAGCAGCTGCATCCTGGTGCAATAAGAAAACAATCGTTTGTGGCGCCCCTCAGCCTTACCGTTGATGAGGTAGGGGTGGTTGCAGCACTTGCGGAGCTCCATCATGGTGTTGAGCAGGTTGGGGACGTTACTGTTACTGTTGGCTCCTAAACTCAGGAAACTAAAGTTCCTCTCCAGAATGGCCCGATAGTACTTCTTCTGGATGTCAGTCAGCTCAACCTGACAGGAAACAAGCAGCATTTTATTCACAAGTTCCTCTGAAACAGAGAACGATATTTTCATCTGGAAAAGTCGTTGGTTTGTGGTCGCCATCATTAATTTGTGCATCTGTTTGAAATCCCTGCTGTTAATTCAATCTTTTCTAAACTTAAATGATTCAGAGAGCCACCTAATGCACAGCTGCTTTAACACAAACTGACCTCAATAATGGTCTCCTGCTTGGGTGCCAAGTTCTTCTCCACATCCTCCTTGAGTCGGCGCAGCATCATAGGTTTTAATATCGCCTGCAGTTTCTGAACCTAAGGAGCCGAAACAAAACATCAACAAAGTATTTAAAATAAGAACAAACAGCCAGGTAGCTGCGGCACCGACAGGTAGGTAGGTAGGTGTGTGTGTGCGTGTGTGAGAATCTGCACAGTGTCCAGACCTGCTCCTCTGTCTTGAGGTCTCCAAAATCTCTAAGAAATTCGATTTCAGACGGGAACTGAGCTGGCTCAAGGAAGTGAAGCAAACTGAAGAGTTCCTCCACGGTGTTCTGAAGCGGCGTGCCGGTCAACAGCACTTTGTGTTCCTGAAGGAAACAAAAATGTGACGAAAAAGGCACAAACGTTCGATCAGTCAGAGTGGACAGCGGTCTGCAGCTCTCTCACCAGGTCAAGCATCTTCAAGCTGTCCAACAGCTTGCAGTTGCGATTTTTAAGGCGGTGAGCTTCGTCGATGATCACGCAGCGCCAGGAGATCTCTCTCAGCTCCGGGCAGTCGGAAAGCACCATCTCAAATGTCGTAATGAGGGCATCGAATTTGTATGCGCCTGGAATCAGATGTCCCTGCAGACAGATTTCATTTGGTTAGACACGTTTGTGTCTTATGGAAGGACTGAGACACACAGGGGGCTGGAGGATGAGCCACCAGCTTAAGACCACAACCCAAAACCTGAGACGTCACAGATCTGCTCACCTTGTCATCTTTGCAGTACATCTCATACTGCTGGATCATCTGTCGGCTGGCGAGGCTGCCATGGTAGACTATGGCATTCATGTCGGTCCAGGTGGAGAACTCCCTCTCCCAGTTGGTGATGGTGGAGAGGGGAGCAATAACCAGGAAGGGGCCTTGGACACCAGCAGCGTACACCTCTGACAGCAGCGTGATGGACTGGATGGTTTTGCCCAGACCCATTTCATCTGCCAGGATGCAGTTCTGCCTGTTGGACAAGAAAAATAACGCTGGGATCCCGATTGGCTTATTTTATTCTAATCTAGGCTTTTATTTTGTTTTTTGTTGGAGAAAAAAAAAAGTTTGTCTTTAGAATAAAAAGTTAAAAGCTGAAACTACAGACATTACAGTTTGGACCCTTCCTACAGCAAAGCCGACAGCGTTCCTGGGTTATTTTGCCACTGATGACCAAAGATTACTATAAACACAGGTGTGCTTGATGAATACCTGTTGTACCAGTTGAAGAGGAGCCAGTTGACTCCTTCCAGCTGATATTCTCGGAGGATGTTGCCGTTCTTGTACTCTCTGGTCTCCTCCAACTTCTTCCATGACCCAGCAGGAGGCCGTGCCTGCGGAGAGGAGAGACGGTGACAAATGAAGAACCAAGGAGCACAAAAGTGGCTCCTGACTCAAGTAAAGGTGTTATGTGAGCTTTTTGTGTTTAAAACAAAGGAAATATATATTAAAGGCTTCAGTCGATTAAACTCCAAACAGATAACGCTCATGGCTGAAGGGATAAACCTAATTTAATATCAGTCACTTTTGTCTCTCATTTGCAAAGACATGTTTGAATAAAACATGAAACCCATAAAATGACAGATATTTTTTGCCCTGTTGTCTTTCTAAGAGGAGTTTTTCACGACCCAGTCCAAGCAGTGCTTAAAGGGACTTTACGGAGTTTTGAATTTTTATGCTCGCGATTGCCCCCTCAGGCCAAAAGCGTAACGGCAGCTTCAATAGTAGGCTCGTGCACGAGGCGTGCATGCTGTACGTGCACACTCCTTAATGAAAATAACAGCTGAGACAGTCCCTTGTGTGTGTAGCCCAGAGGACAAAGGACAGGAGAACGCGCAGCTAATTAAATAATTTGGTTCTGTACCTTTCTCTTCAGCACAGCCGACAAAGGTTTATGATGGGTCAGTCCTCCTGCATGCTCAGATCATTCCCTTCCCTTGCTTGAAAAATTGTTCCATAATGAAAGTTGAACCCACATCTTTTTTATCTGTGAATTTGATGCCGTTCGGCAAAAAATATACCATTAATGTAAAAAAGAAACTTTAAATAAACTATGTTCACATCCAGAATCGAACCCGGGTCTTCTGCACGAGAGACCGACGTCTTTCTAGGTGAGCTAAAGCGCCAGTGACATCCTTGTATCTGTAACATTTATATCCTTGATGACAGCTGAAACAACGTCAAACCAAAGAACTTTTCGGAGTGAAAATGGCTATTTTGTTGCTAATTTGCAGGAAATATCTAGAAGAAAGTTCTACAGAAAGTAGCTAAGGGTCCTCAGAAATGTAGCTAGGTTTGTCACTAGGCGTTAGGAACAGCGACAAAGTGGCACTGCCTCTCTCTCTGCTGCTAAAGCTACGGATAGCAAATGCTACGGGCTATGCCTGAGCGTGAACGCACATGAAGCAGCCTGCTCGACCCGAGCATCTCTCTTTTTCTGTGATTTTACAGAAAAACAGGCAATCACAGTAAAAATGCCAGGGCTCATTCTACAGGACCAGGGCATTGCAGGAGAATGTATGAAGAAGAAATTTATTATTTCTATACATGTTTTGGCTGTCAAACTTCCATAATGCCCTTTTAAAACCAAGTATAATAAGGATGGAACACATGCCATCAGTCATCTCTGACTTGGAACGCTCACCGTTCTCTTCAGACGAGGCTGCCGGTTTTGAATTTTGCGGAACTCTTCAACTTTTGTCTCATCAACGTCCTCTTTTAGTTCCCAAGTAGCATCTTCATAGGGCAGCGAGCACCACTTCACCAGGTAGTAGATGACCGGCTGGAGGACGTAATTTAACCAAAAGGAAACATTTTATATTGTACAGAATTTTAAATGAGAACCAACAGCAGAACTGAGTTAAAACTGTATTTCTGACCTCTCCATTGTCCTTGTCCACGCTGTGAGACACGTCCAGGATCCTGTCCACCTCCATGTAGTCCGGGTTAAAAGGCTCCTCGTCCTGTAGAGAACAGAGTTTGATGTTAAATGAAACGATCCGAGCTGTTTTCCGGCACCAGAGGTGCGACCCCCGCTCACCTCCTGGAACAAGTGCCTCATCTGAGCATGCTTGGTCTTGAACCTCTTGATCTTTTGATGGATCCTCTTATCTTTCTCCAGCTGGTTCAGTGTGGCCCACTCACAGTGCAGGTATGAACTGAGAACACGAGAGCGCAGCTATACTCATTCCTACCGTCTCATTTTTCTAAATAAGTAATAAAAAATTTAAAAAAAGCCTCCAGAAATCCAAGTTCCCCTCAAAGAAAGTGAAACTTACTAGTTTTTGTATTTTACAAAGAATTCCTCAGCATTAACATACTGGCCTGGAGCCACCTTGAAGACAGGAACAGATTTCATTTACATCACACAACAAACAACGAATAATTTCAGGTGTTAGGTTTAGTGTACCTCCTTTTTGGTTATCCTCATAGACAGGACTTTGTCTACGATGGCTGCATCCTCCTCACTAGGATTCTCCTGTAAAAAATAAAACACGTTATAATACTCAACAATAACCCATAATACCAAAATAAAAGTGTTGCACTGATTCAGCTCTCACCACAAAGAACTGCATACTGGGCAGTCCGTCCCCATCAAGCTCCACTTCCTGTTTCAGCTGCACTGCCGCAACTCCACTGATGGAGGCCACCGCTGCTGCGGTCGTAGTAACGTCCACATCTTCCTGCTCATCCTCATCATCCGTTATTTTGATATCCAGGTCCTCTGTGTACTTCTTCCTCTTCACCACACGATTGGAGCGCCTCTTCTGGCCCAAACAGAGTTGTAAGCAACGTGGTTTTGGGACTGTGTTTAAGTTGTCACTAAATGTGTTTTTCTTTTATGGTTTCAACGCTCAAAATTTCTATAAAACTCTAAATAAATCCCTCACAATAGATCAGGGGTGTCAAACAAATGGCCCGCGGGCCGGATCCGGCCCGCAAACGGGTTAAATCCGGCCCGCGAGATGGTTGTGTAAACTTTATTTTCATACTTTACAATGTAGAGCGAAAATAAACGTATCTTTGTGAGCAAGTTTCCTCTGTAATGAGTATAAATAAAACAAAGCTGCGCTCAAGGCTCACACAAGAACTTGAATCACATCCTGAAGCTGGACGCCACTCAGGATGTGACTTCTGATATTGAGGTGCTGGTGAAAGCTAAAAGATGTAAAGTAAAAGGAGTCAAATATACTTTAAGTGCTGCATGAAACTGATCTTGCCATGTGATCTGTAAGCTCTTTGAATCACTAAGGAATGTTTTTTTTTATTTATTGATTTTTTTCAAATTTTCAATTACACGTCAGGTGTTGTACTTGTACTATTTTGGATACACTGTCCTCAGGCTCCAGCCTTGTTTTATATTGATTGTATTAAAACAAAGAAAATAATCTGAAGTTGTTTTTAATTTACCGGTCCGGCCCACTTGGGACTAGATTTCCCTCAGTGTGGCCCCCGAGCTAAAATGAGTTTGACACCCCTGCAATAGATGTCAGTGCACACAGGTCTTAGTCGTGCGTGTGTTTTTACCATGATCATGTCATCCTCCAGAGCAACGGGTGAAGGAGGGCTCAGCTCCCCATCAGAGTGGTCAGAAGATGGATTTCTCTTCCTTTTCTTTGCTCCCACCAGAGTAATGGTGCTGCCAGCAGACGGGGAGAAAAACTCAGAACAGCTCGTGGATATGAAAACAGGAATCAGAAGCACAAAGGTCTTACTTTGCTTTAGTCTTGTTTTTGTTCTTGTTCCCAGCTGCAGGTAAAATGGTGCCTCCAGCTACCGTCATGGTGCCTCCTTGTATCTTGACTTTGCCTTTATTGTTAGCTCCTACCATAGTTTTGTGCACCGCCCCTCCAGACAACGGACTTTTCTTTTTGCTTCCTCCACTGCTGCTTTTTTTCTTAGCAGCAGACACCACAGTCACAGTCCCTCCTATTTCTGACAAGGTGTGTGTGGCTGGAAGCTCATCCTGGTTCAGGACTCTGGGGAGGTTCTTCTCACCACGCGCTTTGGCCCGTGCGATGGCTTCAGCCACGATGCGATTTGCTTTCTCCTGCTTACAGAGAATCTCCACGCGTCGCACTGACGCCGGCTCGCCCGGAGCCTTGGAGATGCGAATGGCCTGGGATGGAGAGGTGGTGGTGGTGGCGGAGGGGCCTGCTGCTGAAGAATTGATGACCTTCACCACGGAGACGGCGCCACCTGAAGGCGAGGCTGAGGTTGTCTGAGTAAAAGAGAATTTTACATTTTTAAGTGAATTTCCTTCAAATCAATGTGTTCAAAGGCAAATTCAAATAAAAAAATCAAACCTGTGGCTGCAGAAGCATTTTGATGGGTACCGCTACTCTCTGTCCTCCTTGGCTCTGGGATATCTGCAGCATCTGTGGGCTGCCGGCATTACCTGCTCCTGACACCAGCTGGTACTGTTAACGCACAAGAGACAGGTTCAGGCAGACCAAATACAAAGGCACCGGTGGCTAAGCTAACCCACTAGCTCTTGATTAGATACCGATAGATGATACGAAGACAGTAAAATAAATAACTAATGAGAGTAAAAAGTTACTCCTTTGGTACCTGGAGAACTGTTAGATAACAATTCAAGAAAAAACTCTAAAAGATGAAACTTGAACTTCCTTCACTTACATTTTTAATATATTTGCAGTGTAAGTCGTATTCTGGGGAAAAAAAGCTCTGGTGCAACTGTTTCAGCAAGGAGAAGTCAGCTGGAGGACAAAGAAGCTTCAGGCGACAGGATTTCGAGTCTTATTTCTTGACGTTCTGACATCTTGCCTCTGATTGGCTAATAGCAACACGACTACCACTGACTCTTTGCTCAGCAATGTTGATGCTTTATCTCCACAAATAACAAAAGCCTGAAGGAGTTCTGCTGTGTGGTGAAGATGCTAATGCTAACGGTTAGCTTCTACTAGCCGAGACGCTCTCTGCGGTTTCCTGGAAGCTAAACCAACAGCAGCCGTCCCCGTCACAAGTGAAGACGGGCGAGTCCATGAATGTTACGTAGATCTGTCAGGCTTTTCATATCCTAGATTTTCACCATCCATTTTTAACCAGAAGCTAATGCAGCAGACAGGTGTAGAAGACTACTTTCATGTTTTGCCTGCATGAAAAACTCAGATTGATCGATTATAATCAGGAATAATCATTAAAAATGGTTTTCCGGTAAAGGGCTGCTTTAGGATTTGAGAGCATTTTAATTATAAAAACATGCTCTTTTAACTGAAATAGGAGCCATATTCTCCTCCCAACTGTTTTCAAAAACTGCTGTAATTTTGCTTTAAACACCACAAATTAGTTTGGCAAAATCCTAAAGAAGACTTTGCTGCACGAATCAGTCGAAGGCCAATCGCAGCTCCTACATCTGAGAATGAAAATAGTCTAAACATTTTAACATAGCAAGAGGACCCTTTTCCCTCAGCATCACAAGGTTTTAGCTCTTTTTATAATGGGACAAAATGCCAAAAATATTCAAGTGGTTTTCAATTAAATCAGGATAATAATCAATTAGAGAAATCAATGGTGATGGCCAGGATTGCTGAGCTCCAGTTTAAAGCAAAACAACAACGTGTAACTAAGTAGCACAAATGAGTCTGAAACTGCTGGACGCAGCAAAAAGCCGCAATGCTGATAATAAACAATAACCTTTAAACAAACAAGACTGACCTGAATGTGTATTACTACAAATGACCCATAAAATAAAACCTGTGGATCCTTGCTGTTCATTACGCATTAGTCATTCTGCGATTAGGCATTTAAACTCAGCAAAAACAGGATTTTGGGCAGAGCCACTTGTGTAAGGAGGAAATGTGGAAATCAACTTATCTCTGATCTTTGCTCAAACATGCCACTCACTCCACGGCATCACACCAATGAAGGTCCTCGTGCTAATCAATGAAACTGGTACTGAATGTTAACAGATCCCAGTTAAGAAAGGCTATTTTATTAGACTGATGCCAGCAAACTGAAGCATCACAAACCCTGAACCTCGACACTCTGGGTAACCTAGTATGAGTCCTGTTTCAGTAAACTTTAACAGAAGACCTCCAAACGTCTATCAAGGGAAAATAACTGGAACATCAACAAATACATCTACAGGATCTCACCTTAACTCCTCCTTGCTGGTTGGGCTGTTGCTGCACTTGCAGCTGAATGGTGAGGACTTTGGGCTGCCCTCCAGCCTGGCCTGCAGTCCGAGCCTGGGTCAGGGCTGCCAGCTGACTTCCTTGGAGCACCAGTTTTCCACTAGGGAGCTGACCCAACACCAGTCTAGCTGGAGCCGGTGTTTGCTGCTGTTGACCCCCTTGTGCGGTCTGAACTTGTTGGACCTGTGCGACTTGCTGCGGAGCTGCAACAGCTTGGCCTGTTGTCGTGGCAGAGCCAGGCTGAGAGGGCTGCTGAAGAACCAGGGTGATGCGCTTAGCTTCCCCTCCCTAGAATTAGATCCACAGGACCAGACATCAGGAAAAGACCGAACACAGAACCAGTAAAAATCATCAGTTACCCCCACAAGAGAAGACGCACACATTTAAAGCATCACATCTTTTGAAACCCTAAAATAGTAGAGGTGGAGCTTACCTGTGTCTGGGCTTGCATGGCTGGCTGGAGCTGCACTTGACTCTGCATCTGGACCTGGCTCTGAGCGGCATGGGCTTGAGGTTGGACTTGAATTTGGGCGGTTTGAGCCTGCGGATGGACTTGAACAGTAGTCTGACCTTGAGCTATCTGCGCCTGAGCTGGGATCTTCACCTGAACTGGCTGAGTTTGTGTCTGCTGTACCTGCTGTGGCATGGATGTAAGCAACACCTGTTTGACTGGTCCATTGGGAGACTGCAGTAGCCTCTGCACCCCTGCACCACCCACCTTGACCTGGGCCTGTCCAGGGCTTGCCTGATTCAACACCGCACCCCCCTGCAGTATGGACACACCGGGTTTGAGTGGAGTTCCAGACAAAACACGGATGACCTTCCCAGTTGTCTGACCCGTGGTTCCAGATATAGTTTGTAGAACCTGTGCTTGACCCTGGGGACCTTTGAGAATCACAATTTTACCACCAGCTTGCTGTGTGATGGCCGCTAACTGTTGTGGGGTGAGCTGATGAGTTATCTGTGTAAGCTGTTGTGTGGTGGTAGCTGGAGAACTAGAAACAGTCAGAGGTGAGCTCAGGAGTACGGCACTACTGGAAACCCCACTGGTGTTGCTGGCAATGGGTACGGTGGTCTGTATCTGTGGCACAGTATCAACAGAAGCCGGTGTCACGGTGGGAGCTGCAGCTAAGGACACAGACTGAACAGTCATCACTGGCATTGGTTGCTGTATGGGGATTTGAACAGGAGCAGGGTCTGGGATGGAAGGAGCTGCTACAGGAACATCAAGGCTTGTGTTGACTGAGAGGTCGGGGGTGGGCTCCGGTTCTGTTGGAACCACCTGGCCCAAAGCCAACTTCAAAGCTTCCTCCACAGGGTCCGAAGAACCATGAGAGAAGGAGTCATCTGGAAGGGCGTCCAGGTTAAACAGAGGTGTGTCCTCAAAGAGGTCCATAATGGGATCTGCCATCTTGCCCACTCCACACCGGGAGATGGGCCCAAAGTTAAAAAGACTCAGACAAGGAAGGCGAGTGCTTTTGTCCAGGTCTTCTCAACTTTTAAGTAAACAGCTGGAAAAAGAAGAAACGCATGAGAATGAGTTAATCGATCTAAAGGCTGTAAAGTAAAAAGTGCTGTAAGACTCACGTAAAAACCCAGTTTAGTGTTCAATAACTTCACCAAGTAACCATGATCCTACAAAGTTAAATCGCGTTGTGCTCTGAAACGTTTTACTGTAATGATTTTAATCTTTCAATTCACAAACCATCTTACGTTAAAGTCTGATTTTGTTCTACGTACACGTAATTTAAACGTAGTATGGGAATGACTGAATGCTTCAGAAAAGGTTGAAGACTAAAAGGAATAAGTGTTTACATCCTAAAGAAACTGCTGTCCTCAAAATGAATCGAAAGTGGTATTAAGGGTTAAAATTTGACCAAAACGAAAACAGTTAAACTGATTCTAAGGTGTTACTTATAATACGACAGCCGAGAATATATTTTGTTGACGAAAACAGTGAGAGACAACGGGTCCTGATGCTGGACAGGTACGATGTTTTCCTCTCCGCTGTCTTTCTTATAAACCCGTCGGTTAGCATTAGCTTCTACCGCCACCAAAATGTGCCGATTCAAAATGCAAGAGAGGGACAGAAAGCACATAAACACGGTTTGTTTTACGTTTTCAGTCATCGAGTCCTTTCTCTGTCATTTACTATCAGCCACTGAGTGAGCCGGACTCCTTGAACCTCATCAACAAACCGGACCAAAACCAAAGCAACGTGCCTGTCTACGTTCAGACACAGCTCATAGGCCGCAATACTGTTTCGGTTGGTCTGCGTCCTATTTTTGGCAAAATTACCTGGAAATATCTATCCGAACATCTGCCTCAACTCACACGGACATAATTTCGAAGTGCAAAATTTACCTTTGCATCGACACACATGGCTTTCTCCGTCTCACAACACTGTACGATTACAGGAAACGGCCAGGGAAGAGCAGGAACTAACTTCTTGCCAATGAAACCCCGCCCTTCAGACCCTATCTAATCGTGATTGGTCAGTTTGTCTCGGAACCGGTACCATTCTGCGTTTTCATTGGGTCAATAGACCATCCATCATTTCTACTGATCCCCCTCCTCTCCGGGGCGGGATAAGAGTTGTAGTTAGGTTGAGAAAACAATAAATGCGGCCTAGCTGGGGTCTTTTGATCTTCAACAACTCTGATTCATTGCAGTGTAAAACACAGGTCTTTTAGGGTTAATTTAAAATAAAAAATGTGTTATTTAAAGTATCTAATTGGCCGTCTAATCTTTAGATGTGTTTGTGAATGACACTATATGTTTTTCACCATTTTATTGCATAGCTGTCCCCCCCTCCCCCCTCTCCTCCTCCTCCTCCTCATTTGAATGAAGACCCGTTGTGTTGTTTCTATATCTTCTTTCGGATATATAAAATGAAACAATACACGTACATTAATGCTTTTATTGATGATTATTGTTCTCAAAACCCGGATATTTATGATTTTTTAAATGATCGGCTTGCGAGACTCAGGTGTGTAGAGTAGGGCTTTGGTGCCCTCTAGTGCTAGGCGGTGATATGACAGCTCTTCTGTAATGGATTATTAGAACACACCGATCACCGAACCATTCAATTGCTTATTAACACCTAACACCAATTCGCAAATCACCTGGTAGCAAACAATTACATTTAGACCTCTAAATGTAGACAAAAGCTGCTCATTTTAACAATATTACTCAAATTTCCTGTCATTGTCTATATTTGAGGATTTGGTGTCAACAATCATCAATATGAAAGCACGGATCCATCCTGCTTTGCTGCACAGCTGGTTGTGTGTGTGTGTGTGTGTGTGTGTGTGTGTGCATGCTTGCGTGCATGCATGCGTGTGTGTGTGTGTATCTGCTCTTTCTTCTCGAATCCCCAGTAAGCTCATACTGAGCCAGGTGGAGGTGATGGAGGTTTCTTCTTGTTAAAGGGAAGTTTTCCTGTCTACTATCGCCTCATGCTTGCTCAGTATGGGGTTTGCCGTATAGTATCTGACACAGAAACTCAGTGACTCCATGCAATCTTCTGGGTTTTCTTTCATAGGACATTCAGCGGAACACAGATAACTCCGCAAGACCCCCCCCTACAAATCAGTAAATGCATTTTGTCCACTTTGCTCACTTGTTCCTTGTTACTACTGACAAAAGTGCACTCAGTCAAAAGTGCCTACTGGTTGTGCAGCACCAGGCTAAAGACCAAAGGTGACAGATCATTTGCTGCTGTGGCCCCCAGACTCTGGAACTCTCTCCCCCTGAGCCTGAGATCAGTGGACTCAGTGGTCTCCTTTAAAAAGCAGCTGAAGACTCACTTGTTCAAGCTGGCTTTTGTATGACCTTCTTCAACCACTCTCTCTTTATTCTGCTCTCCCCACCTATTCCACCTTCCTCAGGATCCACTGATTTCCCTCTTTCCTGTTCACTCTGTCTCTTTCTTAACATTTTTTTCAATCACAATTGTCTATTTTTGCTCATTTTAAATATATTTTTCAACATTTTCTAAATTATTTTTTATATTTTTATATTTTTTGTTTTTGTGAAGCGCCTCGTGATTTTTATCTTGAGAGGCGCTATAAAAATGATACTTTCTTCTTCTTCTTCAGTCTTGTTCTTGCGGTTAAATTTAATCCATGATTCATTTGATCGGTCATATTATGCAACCATGGTAAATGGTTGGATGATCACTACTCACACTACAAACAAGAAAGCCAAAAACGTTTGTTATACAGATCTGCAGCAGCAACAAGTTGTCGTTGGTGCACCTTGGGTCTTTCATATGGATCCAAACCATTTATGATGCTAATTTTGTCCACGTACCGGTCCCAGATGTCTTTATTTAACTCATCTCTGCATATTCCACATCCTTTTTTGGGTTGGGTTTTAACATGTTGTTTAACACTTCCTTTCACCCAAATCTGCTTTTTCTCTGCGACGTACTGTTTGTTTTCACGACTTGTTCACACTCACAAGGCCACCAGCACGTCTGCACACATCTCAGAATGCTACGTTTAATCACGTGTGATCCCAAGCCCTATATGGCGGCGCCCAGAGACTTAGACCTGCTCCCATGTATTTTAGACCCAATTTTTATGGTAATGTGTTACAAAGCTGTCAATATTTTTCAACAACTGGGCATCATTTCATTAATTTTCAACAACATTTCAATGGATATTTCCAGAGATTACCAGTAAAATACACATAGTCTCTTTAAAGTAAATAGGGTCCAACTGGTTACCAGAGCCGTGTCCAGGACTTTTAAAATGGGGTGGCCCATGTGGGGCACTTGTTTATGCATGGGTGGCACCAATGGTTATGCTTATTTATTTATTTACACAAATTGTTAATTTATTTATTTACTTTCTAGTGAATTTTGGAGTTTCACATTACACAATCACCATTTTTTTCTATTCATCTTCTAGTTTTGTGGTGGTTAGCAAGTCACTTCTTGTTGCATTATTGCCACCAACTGGAGTTGAGTGGGACTTTAAATACTATTTATGTGAATATGAAAAAATAATAAATAATATTAATACTACAGAAACGTTCTGTAGGCCTGGGCTAGAAGACAAAGTTAAAGGTGCATGCTACCACACACTATTTTTGGAGTTTACAACCCAAGCCTTTTGTCGACCATGTAAAGTTTATTTAAACTGGAACTTAGTAGGGGGGCACCTGGGGTGGCCAATCAGATTCTAAGGGTGGCATGTGCTACCCCAGGCCACTCCCTGGACACGCCCCTGCTGGTTACTATAGCCAGATTTGCCTAAAAAGATGAATGGCAATTGTAAATCTTTAGATACAATACTCATGTGAGATGATAATTAATTTCCTTTAATCCAATATTCACTGACAGTTGACCTTGTTTCATGCAGAGAGAAACGGGTAAAAAGGAGGCTACATGCTTGACACAGTGATTAATGAGGGGTTGAGTGTGTGTCTTTATGTTAGTTATCACAAAAATATGGCGGATGATAAAAGGAGAAACAGAAAATTGTATCAGATCTTTCCACAATAACCAATAAAACTCGGATCTCACTTCCTGTTTTAAAAAACTCTTTCAAACGTGGTCTGATATGTATAAAAGATGACTGCTAACGAAGAGCCGTTCGGGACGAACCAAGAAAAACCACAGAGAGGCGGTTCTGAACCAGGGAAGCGTGAATGACTGCAAGTGACAGTGAGCCACACTTTATCCATGGAAGTCCTGCTGGGATGAGCCTGCCCGCTCGCCAAAGCCTCCATCTGCCTGTGGCCCTGCGAGGAGTATCCGCCATGCACAGCTCTTATACTGCATCCCATGCTGGCCTGCTAGGTCCTCGCCAGCACCGGCTCGGCTGGTGGGAGCTATATTTACAAACCGCTGCCGTGGTGTTGGGTCGGATGAAATGAAAGCAGGGAAGAAAAACCGCTTTACATTAGCAGATTGAACTCTTGCAGGGACACATAAACAAGTCTGCAATGACACACTCAGCCAAACTACTTCAGTTAGATTTTATTTTCTTCATATAGTGTAATTTGTTTTTATAAATAAACATATTTTTCAGGATACTGACAGGTGTACAGAGGAGCTGCAGTCACAGCACAAACTAATAAAGGTGTTTCTTTTAACCTCGACAGGTTGTCATCAGAGCACAGAAGTGAGTTTCTACACTGCAAAAACTGATTTCTAAGAAGGAAAAAAAGCCTATTTTTTAGATATTTTGTCTTTTTTAGTCTAAAATTTTTTTTAAAGATTCCTCTAGAAAAAATAGCCTCATGTAAAATAAGGTAAATATATAAGATCGAAATTTTTTTTTTTGAGTAAAGACAACGTGGTAAACAAAAGTTGCATGGCTTCAAATCTTAAAGCTAGCAAATCAATACAAGTTTATATTGTTTTGCTTGATTTGAGAATTCTAGCAAACCAACGTTTGTGTACCACATTGGTAGATTCTTTTTTTTTAATTTAAAACAAGAACATTTGGATCATAATATGGAATATCTATAACCTAGTGAACCAGACCAAATTCTTGCTTTGCAAAGTTTAGACTGGGAACGCTCCTTAGGGAGCCTGAGTATCTTCCCTTTCCATTCGTTCCCAATGCACATTTTTAGTTCTGGGCATATGTTCTCACAAAACCTAAAATAACGCTTGAAAATGTGAGCATTTTCATGCATGTATCAAAATGCGTGTTTAAAATTCATGAACATCATATGTGAAATCCATGGCACATAACAAGCGGAATTAGAAAATAGCATTTATTTTTTTGCCCCATTGCCTTGCGTTAATTTTTTTTGTTCTTCCGGGGACCCATGGTCCAGAAGTAGATGGGTTAGGGTTAGGCTCTCCATTAGAACGTTGCAGCATTCATCTCCAATCACAGATCTCTAAAGGGGTTTCAAACTGATAGAGCACTGTGATTGGTCCACACATTGGTCTAAGGGGTTGGATTGAGGGGTTAAACCACCAAATAGTTCCCGAGCGCTGCCACCGCTGCAGCTCACCGCTCCCCTCCACGGGGATGGGTCAAATGCAGAGATGAACTTCACCAGTTTGTGATGATGACTATGCGACTTCAACTTTAACTTTTCAAAGGTGACCCACAAAGGTGGGCCAATCACAGAGCTCTATCCGCTTTGTGGTCCAATCAGGGCCCGCTATTCGTCTGGTGGGTAGGATGATGCGACAGAGTGGAACAATGGCGACAGCTCATTTGAAACGGCTTTTACACCATTTTTACCGTATTTGGACTTGGGCTTTATTAGAATCAGGAGCAGATAGATGTATTTAAGTCCTTTATTTAGCAAAATGATGTATTCTTGCCTTCTTCAACAGCAGACTGCCTCGTTTACCGACATCCGTTGTGGTGGGTTGTTTGTTGTCCAGTAGCATGCAGAGATCAATTGAAAGACAACAGTAGAACTGTTAGACTGAGACATCCCAGATGTAAAACAGAACGCTACCATAGATCTTTCATCCCCTCTGCACCAAGAGTGTGTAACTCCTCAGTTTAGGATGTACTGGCGTTATCCAGTCACGCAATAACATCAATGCAATACTCAGTATGTGTTCAATACACGTGCAATACCAGATTTACATAGTATGTCTGTGTCCCTTACAGTATGCTGCATAGTTCTGGAATCCAAGTTTTAAAAATTGTACTTGTGGTTTTTAGTGGTTGAAGGTTACAATACTAGCTTACTGCCTATGTGTGTGTATACATGTACCTTTGTCATTGTTTTTCTTCAAATTATTATCTCAAGTGTTGGTGCTCCTGTGAATTTCCCCACTGTAAGATCAATAAAGTCTAGTCTATTCTATTCTATTCTATTCTATTCTATTCTAGAACCTGCCCTGACCGAGAACCGTCAATGAAGCGTTGCCAGACTAAATAATATATTTATTTATTCAGGCTTGCCAGGCTGGAATGTTTACTTTATTTTAAGTAATACAATTTTTCTGGAGACTCATTTATTTTCACTTTAGAATAAAAAAAAGATTAACGTTAAAAACAAAAAGGCTTTTTAAAGCTTTCTCAGAAATTTGTTTTTGCAGTGTAAATTTGAAAAAGAAATCAGAGATTAAGGCATTCACATATTGTCAGCACAGGAGTACAGAGCACAAATAACTGATTTATATTTTCTGTGACAAATTAAACTGGATAAATATTTATACACAGGCAAAACAAGCAAATCATTGGTTTAATTCAACTTTTGACCCTTTTGTCCATTTTATTTTTGGACAAAGTACTCTTAAGCTGCTTGTAGCACTTGTATAAACCCCAATCTCCTCCTCCTCTCATCCATTCACACCCATGATCTACACATTTCACCTCAGCTCTCCACCATCCTCATAAGGGGAAGACCAGGAACCCAGAGAAGGTGGAGTACTTCCAGCCTCCCATCAGGTTGCCTCTCTCCAGTCTGAGGTAGGCCTTGTCCCCCTTCTCCATAATCACCAGGCCGGCATTGGTGGCAGCTTCTCTGGTCACGTCTTGGTCCCCGGCAAAGGCTGAAATCATCGGCCAGCCGTTCACCATCAGGCTGACCTGAAACACACAACACTCTGGGATCAGACAGAGCCTGTGGGCATGCCGGAATATCAGGTATGACGGTCAGCTTACCTGGATCGTCTGCCTGTTGTACGCTTTCACAACGTGGAAGTTGAAGCTGTACACCCCTCTACGTGGTGCCACGAAGACACTACTCTCTTGGTCAAAATGGGTACCCACGTTAACTAAAATCTGATCAGATGGTGAGGAAATGGCAGGGAAGACATGTGGGCATCAAAACGGAAAGAATATGAGACTAAGGTGAATCTGGATAAATTAGAACACGGTGCAAAAGTCCATTTATGTTTGTAATCCAGCTTAGACTGAGAGACCATCTAAAGCCTCAGGAATCCTTTGTAGGTGTTCTGGACATACTAGCTGATTAGAGTGTGTTGTGAACCTCTTCACAATATTCTAACTGTATGATAATTTGAATGTGGGGTTTTCATAAGCTGTAAGCCACAATCATCAGAATTATTTTAAATAAAGGCAGCAGGTCTCCAAGGTGAACAGCCCCTGGCGTCTTAGAAGAAGGGAGATAAGGGAAGTCGGCAAGTCAGATCCGAAACTTCGGGATAAGGATTGGCTCAAAGGGCTGGGTCGGTCGGGCTGGGGTGCGAAGCGAGGCTGGGCTCGCGCCGCGGCTGGGGGAGCAGTCACCCCGTCGCCCTCCCCTCTCCGCCGCCTTGAAGCCCGGTTGCTCGGCCCGGCTCGTGGTGGGGCCCCCTTCGTCCGTCGCGCCTCGTGCGTCGGCGGGCGGTGGGAGTCTTTGCCGCGAGCCGGTGCCCGACGCTGGGTGGATGGCGGGCCGTGGGAGGGGATGCGGTCGGCGGGTGCGGCGGCGACTCTGGACGCGCGCCGGGCCCTTCCCGCGGATCTCCCCAGCTGCGGCCAGCCTGGAATGATTCTGTCTCATTTATTAGTTTCACATTTTAAGATGAAATACTGGAATAAATGAACTTTTGCACCAGGTTCTCGTTTTTCGTAGTTGATTTTGTAATTCTTTCTGCTCTCTCAGACTTCCAAACCACTGATTCACACATTCTCCTATTACATTTAAAATAAACCCTCGATGTGCTGAAAAATCCTCTGGTTTTATGAGTCTAACGGATCAATTTTTACCTCATTGTCATTCATCAGCATGGTCAGACTGTAATTATATGTGCATTTTAAGGCGAGGAGGGATTCATGGCACAAGAAAAGTGGGATTTTTCCGTCAAACATTCCAGGAGAACGTCCAATCGTATGAGCAAAGATACTCACGTTATCGAAGTAGATGATCATGGTGCGGTTGCTCATGTCCGTGGGCTCATGGTTGGTTTGGCGGCTGGCAGAGAAGGCCACTCGCCCCGAGCCAGAGCGAACAGACATGCCCAAAGCATTACCGGCGGGCTCAGACGAAGGAGTGGAGTCGCACACCACCAAACACTTGCCCTCGAGGATGATGGGCTCTGTGTCGTTCTGGCCCCTGCACACCAGAGGACCCCATAACAGCAGCACACTGAGCAGGGTCAGGAGGTCAGCAAGGACGGACCTGAGGTGCATGACTGAACCTAGAAGGATCAGCCACAGATCTCTCAATTAAGCTTAAAAAATGAGTCACTTTACGTCATTTGGAGAAAGGTGGATGAACACGCCACACCAACCAGATGCTTTTTGTGAGTTTTTCTACTTTTTGCTTGAGTTTACGAGATCTAAATCTCAACTGATAAAACGCCCGCACACACAAGAAACCTTAAATAAATAAAAGAAGCAGGTTGGTGTGGACTCAGAGGGGAGTGAGGAGGAGAGACGAAGTGGGGGAACAACTCCACTGAGTGACCATCTGTCTCCTTACACATAGCCCCCTCCCTCCATCACACATCCACACACACATTTCAGCTTTTGTTTCACACTCTCACATAACAAAGGTACACATTTAACACCACTTTGTACATTTCACTTTTATTTCTGTTAGTTTTGCAGCACTTGTTTGTTCATATTTTAAGACTTTTGCCCTTTTTTCCTGCATGTAATCAAAAATGTTCCGTAACTAAAATCAGATTTCTCAGCTCAAACAGTGACATCCTTTTGATTGATTATGAAGATTTGCATCTCAGCAGCAATAACCAGTTATTAATACAAGTGCCCTAACGTAACGTGCAAAATCAAAAAAATCTAAAAACACAGTGAGCATTAATGAAAACAGTCACCTGTTGTTGACTCGGATGTCCTCTGTCTCATACCAGATGAAAGCAGACGTCTCCGTCCAGCTGAATTAAAAAGAAAATCCCAGTTCTCTGGTCACATTCTCCCTCAGCGCTCCAGTTGAGCTGATTGCAACCAATCCAGAGAATCCTCTGATTTTCCTGTTTCTCTCCCTGCATGCCCCCCCCCCCCCCCCGCACGCGCGCTTCTGTCTCCACGTTGCATCCGCCCACTCCCCTCTACAGTGAAATCAGAAATCTATACAGCTTCAAAGAGCAGAGTTAGCGAGTGAATGACAGTTTCTCTGTTTTGTTTAATTTACAGTAAAACAGTAAGTCCTTAAATGAAAAGACAGATCAGAAGGAGTTTTGTTTACTCGCGTTTTATTCAGTTAATTTAATAATGTAGAAGCATTCAAGCTTCATTAAAGGGGACATATTGTGCCAAACTCACATTTTGCATCCTTTTGTTCTGCCATGTGGGTCTCTACTGCCTCCAAAAACACTCCAAATGTGAAAAAACCTTCTATTCATTTTCTGTCATTGTTTGGTTTCAGGAATTATGCATCTAAAACAAGCAGTTTCAAAAGGTCCGTATTTGTGATGTCATTATCACTCCATCCGTTTTCCTCCGCTTATCCGGAGTCACATGGTGGGGGCAGCAGCCCAAGCAAAGAGACTCAGGTTTCTCACTCCCCAGCAACTTGGGCCAGCTCCTCCAGGGAACCCCAAGGCGTTCCCTGGCCAGCTGAGAGACATAGTCCCTCCAGTGTGTCCGGGTCTTCCCTTGGGTCTCCTCCCCTGTTGGATACGCCCAGAAAACTTCACCTGGGAGGCATCCAGGAGGCATCCTGACCAGATGCCTAAGCATCCTCAACTGGCTTCTCTCAACGTGGAGGAGCAGCGGGTCTACTCCGAGCCCCTCCTGCATGACCAAGCTTCTCACCTTATCTCTAAGGGAGAGTCCAGCCACCCTGGAGATAAAATTAATTGTGGCCGCTTGTATCTATTATCTCGTTCTTTCAGTCACTGCCCGAAGCTCGTGACCATAGGTGAGGGTAGGCACGTAGAACAACCAGTAAATTTTGAGCTTTTCATTCTGACTAAGCTCTTTCTTCACCACGAAAGACCGGTATGATGTCCGCATCATTGTGATGTCACAAACGGGAAAATGATCAGTGAACTAATATGCAACAGAGCGCTGCAGCTGGAAGAGCAGTGACTTCACTACAAGCCCCTCAGAGATATTGGAGCTTCTAAGCTTATAGCAGCAGACCAGAGGGTGGGTACATGTGGTCAGCTCCAGTTTTTTTTTCTTAAAGTGACAGAGCCTTGAAACGACTGAATCTGGAAGTTACTGAAAATGTCCAGACTGAAACAGCCGAAATTGCTTTTATTTGGAGCAGTTTAGTGCAAAAAACTTTAAAACATGTTTTGAATTGACTATAGAACTATTATAACTTAAGAAAAAAGTCATAACATGTCCCCTTTAATAGTTATACCTATAAGGACAATAGCTTTTGCAAAAAAAAAAAATAAATAAATAAAATAAAATAAACTAGCTGATAAAAATGTGCTCTTATTTTGTAGGTCCAAAGGTAGGGAGAACAAAATGATGAGTTATTATCATCTAGATTCAAAATGAAAGAAATCACAAGGACCAAACATTTTCTAGAACAATAATACAAAACTCTTTTTACCTGTAAAATAATTCATTTCACTGTCACCCAGAGGTGTGACCAAGTCACTGCTTTGCAAGTCGCAAGTGAGTCACAAGTCTTTCCAGTCAAGTCTCGAGTCAAGTCCAAGTCAAAGACAACCAAGTCCAAGTCGAGTCCAAAGTCAATGATGTGGAAGTCCAAGTCAGGTCCAAGTCCTTAAATTTGAATTTTCAAGTCATAATCAAGTCATTTGTCCAACTTCAATTTAATGACAATGATAATAAATACATTCCAGAAATAAAGCTTCATTTATTTGCTCAAACAAGCAGGAAGTGCAACTGAAACTGATTATAAACAAAGCGCTGCTGCATTTAGCAGTAAATCAAACCCATAACGAAGAATGATTTATGATTTTTGTCCATGTCGGGCCACTTTTGTGCTCAAATATCAAATATGCCCAAGTCATCATCAACTCAACAGATGCAAGTCCATTTAAGTTGCAAGTAATTTGCAGTCAAGTCTGAGTAAAGTCAGTCGTACGTCTTAATAGATTCGATCAAGTCAAGTCAAAAGTCATTAAAATAATGACTCAAGTCTGACTCGAGTCCAAGTCATGTGACTCAAGTCCACACCTCTGCTGTCACCTTTCATGCCGATTTTAGAGCTAAGATTATATGTTGAGAAATTGTGAATTGTTAGTTGTTTTGAACAAATCTTTGAAATAAAACAATCTAATACCCCCAGATGTTAGAGCTGTACATGCTAAACTGACAGAAGTACAAACATTTCTGTGTGGCTGGCAGCCATCAGAACTAAGGTTTATTCCTGCAGACTTTATTACTGTCTGAAGGTTTCATTCAGATCTGTCCAGCCACTCATCGGAGATTTTGCCAACAGACACAAACGGGCAAAAACATTCTTTTGGACCAAATATCACATAAATAAAGCTTAAAGTTTTGTCTCCTGGCGCAGAAAACCGAGAGGTTTCAGAACAATCGTGTGGTCGCCTCACACTTTAACTATAGTGATATGACTCTTGAGCTCGGCCTTGTAGAGTCCAAAGCCCAAGCACAGTGGTTGGGTGAAGCTGCTGGAGAAAGTGTGGAGGTGGATCAGGTTGTTGGAGGGCCCCACCTCTGAGAAAGTGATGGTCCCTGAGTTGTAGTCCACAGCGACAGCAACTCGATTCCCGTCCATCTGGTGCGTGAGCCGCGTCTTCCTGCGATTGTGCCAGGCAGACAGCTTTTTATCGTGCTGCTGAGTCAAGCTCCACGACACCTGAGAACATTTTATTTATTTAAAAGACACTGGCATGCTTTAAACTAAATAACACATTTGAGTACCTTGTTGTTTCCAAACGCGTTGCCATCTTTTCCCTTCCGTCCAATGCTTCTGTAGCAGACGGCAACATCCCAGAATCCCTCAGCCTCCAGCTCCCAGTAGTGAGTGCCAGAGGAGAAGGTCTGGGCTGCGAGGACCTGTGGCCAGTGATCAAAACGTTCGGGGTGAGCAGCGCACGGCAGTCGGCTTTTAACGCGTCTCACTGAACGCAAGTCATCAGAGATGCTCAGCAGAGGATGAGCCGAGTTCGTGTCTAGAGTCAGCCGGCTGGTCACTGCAGGGTCACACAAAATTGATTCAGTTGTGCTGCTCTTGAAGTTCATTCTGCTCAATATCTGGAAAAGAATCTCGGAAACTACATTTTACACACCACATGCAGACATTACATCAGTTTAAAAACAGACAAACCAGTAAGACTCATTGCAGGTACTGGTTCTGCATCTACCCCATTGATCACCCAGTGAGAACAGGAAGTCACTGGCTGGATCCATAAATGTGAAAATGGACTGAATCCGTAAAGTTTTAGGATTTGTGAATTTTTAAGGTGAATCTTTGGTCTCAAATCAGTTTCACTTTTTCACTTCTATGCCAAACTAGCAAGCATCTGAGTTTTCATCCATATTAAGGGCAGTGTTGGGAGTAATGCTGTACAAAAGTAATTAATTACTGTAATGCATTGCTTTTTGCTGTAATGTGGTAATGTAAGGCATTACAGGGAAAGAAAATGGTAATATTTACTCGGTACAATTGTCAGTAACGCGGTAATTACTATGCATTTTTAAACCCAGAATCAAGACGTGGGTTTCCTAAAAATTCAAAGCCTGAAAAAAGATCCAGTATCCACATATATGACGTCATTTATGGACTCAGCTTTGCGGGGATTCTATGAGCAGAGAGGACGCAGAGCTGCGTCCTGCACGCGGCCGCTGTTATGTTCACAAAATCGCTCCACCAAAACAAAGTGATTCGTTTGCGATCGTTTATATCAGCCCATATTCTCTGGTACTTCATGTAATTTTCAGCTGAGTTCATAATCTGTGCCCCTGTGATTTCAAGTCATTGTTGCTGGAGCGCAGTGCATATTAAGCTTTTTATTTATTTATTTATTTGCGTTCAGTAGATCCCTTTGGCTGATTAGTTAGAAAGCAGGAAATCTAGGAAACAGTTTTTCTGGAAGACGGAGAAAACATGCAGCATGCAGGAAGGTTAGAGAGAGAAAGGGCAGGAAATTATTCAAATAAAATCAAGAAAACAAAACAAAGTGCTTGAAAAGAAAAAAAAAGTAGGTAGATTTATCCCCAATACACATTTTTACCAGTGAAAAGCAATAATAAATAAACATTTAATATTTATACATGTGATAGAATCAGATCACCCCAGAAGTCAGTCCAACATCCAGGGCCGTATCAAGGCATTTGGGGACCAAGGCAAATATAGGCTTGGAGCCCCCACCACCTCACTCCCTGCTCAGTTAATATAAGATGGCAGGGTACTGAGAGTACAGATTGTTGTTGCTTTTATTTAATAAACAATCATTTTAAAGCACTGTTATTATATCTGACTGTTTTTAACAGCAATCCTAGCTCAGACACCACATCACTTTCCACATATATGTCATGAGCTCACTGAGCGTCACATTACCAGATTCATATTGAAGTTGTTTTGGTGAAAGTAACTTAAAGTAATGCAAAAGTAGTGTAATGCCTTACATTTTATAATCAGTAATATTGTAATGTAATGAGTTGCTTTAAAATGAGGGTAACAAGTAATAAATAATGCATTACAGTTTTGAAGTAACTTGCCCAACACTGATTAAGGGTTACTCATGTTCGCTCATGAAAGAAACAAACAGACTTCTCTTTGAATATTGACAAACGTTTCTAAAATAAATTTTAATGGTGACAAACTTCAGCATTATTTGTCTCTTATTTCAGAAAGTGAAACTCCAATTTCAAATTTATAACACAGAGTAAAAGATTTCAATCATTTGTTTCTTGTCATTTAGATGGTTACGGCGTACAGATAAGAAAATACTGAGTTTTTATATGAATAAGTTTTAAGTGTCTCAAAGTTGCAATTTTGTGAAAAGGAAAAATATTGGAAAGTCATCAGCTAATTAACTCAAAACAGCTGCAAAACTTTACTGAGCCTCTAAATGGTCTCTCAGTCTGGGTCAGTTGACGCCAGTCATAGGGAGGAATGCTGACTGGAAAGACTTCCAGAGGACAGTCAGACACCCTGAAGGAGGGGAAGCTGCAAAACAGCCAAAGTTGCTAGTTAGGAATGTTGCATCGAAGCACGCTCATGGTAAGGGACACCAGCACATGGACGTGTTTTTTTTTGAGGGGACAGATATAAAGATATAAATAGCTGTAGTTTTATACATATTTTTTGTATACCTACTGTAAAGATCCCTTCCTCCCCGGGTCCTCGTGCCGGTTGTGTCCCCCCAACTTCTAAAGTCAAAACTACATCCATGCACCAGCACCGGGGACCAGAGTCAGACCCAGGCTGCCATCACAGGAACCTGGCCCTGCATCACACCTCTGCAGTGCAAAAAGGAGCAAAAAGGAGGTCAAACCAAGTACTGAGTGCAAATAAATTCAAATCAAACTTCTTGCAAAGCCACCGGTTACTCTCACAAGAAATTTCTTTGGGTGTTTTGGAAATATATCTGAAACAGTCTAGAGTGGGAAGGCTCAATCACAACTTTTCTAAATGAACACACTCTTCAGAAGTCTGACATTTCTGTTTCAAATATGTTTTTTTTTAATTGATCTTATATTAAATTCTAATATTCTGGTTAGCTATAATCATCAAGGCTTGACATATTTCACTCTGTGTGTAAGGGATATACAGGTATATGGGTTTCACTTTCTGAAAGGAGTGACAAAAAACACAGAACTTTTTGTTCTATACTTTTTGATTTTTTACTGTTTATACCAGGATAAACTGAGTGTGTTAATAAGATCAACAGGTGTCTGCTGCTGCCACTCACAGAGTTCCCTCTTCAGTTCACTCAGGCAGCGGAGGGTGGCGGTGATGAACTCTCGATATTTACTCTCGATGTCGTCCAAGATGTGTTTCCTGTCCAGACTGATGGGACCGGGGACGAAGAGCGGGCAGTTCAGGTCGGCTAATAATCTACAACACAAGAGAGCCTCAACATAGAGCGGAATGGGTTTCTCTCTCTGAAATTACCACACACACACACACACACACACACGCACGCACACACACACACACACACACACACACACACACACACACACACACACACACACACACACACACACACACACACACACACACACACACACACACACACACACACACACACACACACACACACACACACACACACACACACACACACACACACACACACACACACACACACACATACACACACACACACACACACACACACACACACACACACACACACACACACACACATACACACACACACGCACACACACACACACACACACACACACACACACGCACAATAACGTCTCCAGAAGCTGAGCTGGACTTACTTTGTGTCATCTGATTGAAAAGCCTAAAAGAAGGAAAGGTGGAGGACAGCAGAAAGAAACATGTCACATGATCTTCCCAGAAAAAAGCCTCAGATGTGCCTGTGTAACATATCTGCTCAGGTGAACGTGAAAAGAAGAAAATAATAGAAAAACAAACTTACTGAAACTATGGCTCCCTGTACGTTTCACTGTGTTCCCAATTCAATTTAAATAAACCTAATTTACAGCCCAAGGTTTTCTGTAAAAATATCTGTTAAAATGCGCCTCACCATAAAAAAAACATAAAACAATTTCACCAGCCGCTCCCGTTTCTGTTCAGAAATCTCTACACTGGTTACCAGTAGTGATGGGAATTCCGGCTCTTTTTAGAGAGCCAGTTCTTTTGGCTCAGCTCACCAAAAAGAGCCGGCTCTTTTGGCTCCCAAGTGGCTCCTCAGATTTTCTGTTGCGTAGAGTACATTTATAACCAAAATAATACAAAATTATATGTAAAATGATTTACTAATGTAAAAATATGCAATATAACAAATATTTATCATTTCTATGGATTTAATAACTGAACACTTTAAGAAATCTCCACTTTCCAACTGCTGGCGCTCATTTTCTCACCGTCTTCGTCGCACTCTCCTCCCTCTCACTCGCCTTTTTCCTCCTCCTCATTCCCTCTCGTCTCCCTCCTCCCGCATGTGCTCTGCTGTGTCTGAGTCTGATCCTCCCTCTTCCCCGCCCCTACTGCTATGTGTGTGGACAGTCTGGACACGCAGTTACACATGTTGACCAATCGCCTGTAGCTTTCACCAAAGCAAGAGGGGAGGGTGGAGGGGACGGCTCCCAATGACGAGCTGGTTCCCATCGTTCACTTCAAAGAGCCGGCTCTTAGAGCCGGTTCGTTCGCGACCGACACATCACTAGTTACCAGTAAACTACAGAATCGATTTCACCCTCTCAGAGACTCTCTAGTAAAAGTGCTACTACTAGTTTATAAATCACTCAGTGGCATGGGGCCAGGATACATTTACAGTATATACCCCCAGCAGGGCTCTGAGATCCTTAGGAAGCAGTCAGCTGGTAGAACCGGGTCAGAACCAAACAGGGGGAAGCTGCTTTTAGCTATTCTGCTGCTCACAGATGGAATCAGCTTCCTCGTGACCTCAAATGTGCCCCAACTCTACAAACTTTTAACTAAAAAAAAAAAAAACGTCCAAGTATTCATCAGCTTTTGAATGAATGTTTCTAACGCTGCACCTTCTGCACTGTAACTGCTCAGTCTTTAACTTGAACTTTTTATTTTATTTCTTACATCTAATTTTATTTGTGTATTTAACTTTGATTTTATGATCGGCTGTTTTACGTTGTCGTGTTGATTCGAATGTTTCATGTTCTTGTTGATCTTGCTGCACCTGAAAAGCACATTGAATTGCTCCTGTGTCTGAAATGTGCTTTATAAATAAAGCTGCTTTGCCTTAAATGTAAAATGTCTAAAATTTTCTTCTGACAGCAGACTTTAATTATTTGATTCCTACGTTTTTCTACGATGCCAACGTTTTCAGAACTGTTGCTCGGGTTTTTCCATCTATGTGGTGAAATGAAGAAGGGATGATTTTTATTTTGCATACAAAATTCAAAATGTCGATGATAAATATTTCTGATAATTTTGCTTTTTTCCTTTTTAACTATGCTAATATGAGTCAGGATAACAACCATTTAAACAGTTTTGACTTGTTCAGGACCCATGAGCAGTGAGTGACTTACCCAGATGAGGAGGAAAGGGTCCGTCTCCGCCAGCAGCAGGTTCAGGTAGTGCAGAATGTTTGTTGTTTGTCTCATGTCATCCCTCACTTTAGTGCAGTCTTGCTGCACACGCTCTGCAATCTGCTGCCTCTCCTTCTTGGTGAGATCCTTCAGGGCCACCACAAGTTTTTTCACCTGGTCCTGCAGGTCTGAACCCAGAAGCTCCACCTGGTTTTCGTCCTGCTTCAAAGAGTCCTAGAAGCACAAATCAGAGGGTGCCATATCACTAGAAGAGCTGTTGAGTGTAATTTTCTTAGCAATGATCGAGCCTTTCAACTCACAGCCATGGTAGAATCAAAATCTTCATGCTCTTTGAGACGTCGCTCTCCATCTTTGAGTTTCGTCTCTGCTTTGATGAGCAGTGACTGTAGAATGACCTTCAGATCCTCCTCCACCTGCCTCAGAGCCTTCACCTTGTGTAGTGCGTGTCCTCCTTCCAGCAGACAGTCTCCACACACATACACCCTCTCATCCACGCAGTAGTAGCGGAACACCTCTGAGTGAGCAGGACACCTCCTCTGGGACAGGTCCCCCAGCGGCTGCACCAACAGGTGGCTGCTAAACGCCGGTCTCTCCAGGTGGGGCTGGAGGTGGCTGGCACACAACGACACCTCGCACTTGAGGCAGGTTTTAACAGCCAGCTGTGGTGGTCCATCTTCTGTCTGCGGAGGGCAGGAGTCACACAGAACTTCACCGTGCTCCTCCTGACACTGAGGGCAGATGAAGTGATCTTTTCCTTCTACCTGGCCGCTCCAGGCCTCACGGATGCAGGTGGGGCAAAAGCTGTGGCCACAAGGCAGCGGGTGGGCTTGGCTGAAGCTGTCTCGACATACAGAACAAGTCAGGTCTTCATCCACGGACGCCATTGGTGGTCAGATGGTGGTCCCTTACAAGGACTGTTAGCTACATAGTAAAAAAACGGATCAAAAACATGTGAATGATTAAAAAGTACACTAAACCTTACATAACTATGACTTCAGCCTAAGAAGGACAAGAGGGAAGCCTTTCAGACCAATAATCCTGATCACTAGACCTCTGCTCTAAAGATAGAACACATGTTGATTTAAAACAAGCTACCAGGTGAAAAAGGGAAGAAGTCTTTATTAAAAAAAACAAACAAAAAGACATTCAATAGGACTGAACGACTAAAGAAAGTTCTAAATAAAAACATAAATCAAGCTGAGCTTTACACGTCTGCTTTCACCATGCAGAAAAAAGTACAGCAGATTGTAAAAGAAAAACAAATCCAGGATGTTCTTTTCAAACTGTAGACGTCGAAACACTGATGGGCATTACCATAGACACATAGGCATTAACACAGCTAAGACACAAGCTGTTGCAGCGAGCAGTGGGGGTCAGGAGATCCCCTTGCTGCCCTGATCTCTTCCTCACCTAGTTAACCTCCAACAGGATGTGACAAACCCAACTACGTCATGAAGATTTTAAATACATTTGAAAGTGAATATTTTCCTTACCCGCTGGTGTCCTGCTGCTTGGCCATCAGAGAGAGAGAGAGAGAGAGAGCGAGAGAGTGTGTGTGTGTGTGTGTGTGTGTGTGTGTGCGTGCGTGCGTGCGTGCGTGCGTGTGTGTGTGTGTGTGTTGACTAATCCCAGAAGATTCAAGGCAGTTAGGAGTCACCTGATCCTGAGATGGGAGGAGCAGAAGGAAAACGTGCACCTGAATTCCTTTTCACAGGTTTACTGCATAAGCTTGAAAAATAACTAAACTCTGCAGCTGGATTGTAGAAACGTTTTTATCCTCTTCAAGGAAGTTTCAGCCTGAATTCTCGGCTCTCTTTGGATCTCCTTACAAGGATTGGGATTAACTGACTTCTGGGTTTTAACTCAGTCAAAGCAACATTTTGATTCTTTAACTTTGTTTTGGATCACATCAGTGATATCTAAGGTCACTGCTTTTCTCCATCGCATTTTGTTAACACACACCTGTATTCTCCAGACCATGCTGCAAGGCTTAAGTGGGTGACAGGTTTGTTTTAGTTTAATTTTATTTTAGCACAGCTTTTGGCTTTGAAACTGTGAATAAAGTATGGGGATGAGAGATACGTCAGGTTATTTTTAATGTATTTCTGTATTAATCTGGATTCAGTCATGTTATGATCTGTGCCTTGTCTGACAGAATTCATCTGAATGGACGGATGAATGAATGTAAAAGTTTAAGACTTAGAAGTTTATGTAAAATCACATAAAAAAACAACACCAGAGAGATTCACGACAGGTACAAAATTACCAGAGTAACTCTGGTCACGCAACAAGGCAGCTCCTAGGATCTGAATTTGCAGTTTTTTTCTGGTTGCAAGGCAAAACTGCTACAAACAGCAGCACAACACAGCCTGTCAACTCCCTCTTATTGTCTTTTGTAAATTATTTCATCTTTCCTGAACTGTGATAAAGACAGAAGAGATTGCAGTCTGGATTTGGACCAGAAGTTGACTGACAGCAAGCCAGCGGCCTTGCAGAGGTCCTGAATAAAATACCTGCTCTACATTCTCTTTTTGTCAATAAAAACTCTTAACTAATATTGTAATTATGCTAGAGCAATCATAGTGGGGCATACAAAAAAAAAACATAAAAAAAAAGAAAACGAGAAATGAAATCTCAATTTTTGTGTTTGAGAGACACCTAGAGGTGATAATCTGTCATTGCACCTGGCAGCTATTTTAGTCATTTTACATCCAAACTGTCGAGATTAAATTAACGCAATGGGATGGAAAAAGGAAAAAAAGTTGAAAAAATGTAACATATTCGTAACCAGACTCGTCTATGATTTGAAATAAACAAAACATAAACTGGAAATAATTATTTCATTTCATCCTGTCATTATAGGTCTAATGTCAAATATGTGCAAGCCCACCTTTCAGATATATGATTTTGACCTAATAGCACCCGAACCAGGCCTTCAGTGAGCCAGCCTGTTAGTTGGTGTGGACAGGGTGATTAATTATAGGAGACAGACAGACAGGCAGACAGACAGACAGCTAAGAAGGCCGAGACACGGACAGACAGTACCGCAGCGAGCGCAGAGAGGCTGGACAGGAGCAGGCCGACACAAAAACAAGCAGAGGAGCAGCGGCCAGGAAATTAATCCTCCTCTCAGAGCGAGTCCTGCCATCTGCACCGCCCCAGCCTCCGCTCCTGCAAACTAAACACATTTAGGAATAATTAGCCTTTGTCACGAGAGAGGGAATGTGCGAATGAGATGAATAATTGAAAAAAAAAAAAAAAAACTGCGTCTGTCTGACTGCGCATCCCCGGGACTGAACAGGGAAATGCTGCGCCAGTGTCCCGGCTGAGAGACGGAGCGGATCACGGCGGAGCTCCGGAGCTTTATCCTGGCGCGCGCTCTCTCTCTCTCCTGTCATCCTCCAGCATCAGAGCTGAAATCAGAACAAAATCATCGTTTCCAACACGGTAAGTTGTGTTTCTGCGCTTTTGTGGCAGCCCCGCGTCGGCCACGAGCGGCCTGCGAGGGAAATGCACATCCGGGAGAGTGTTTTTCAGAGAAGTCGAAATATTTTATGAATCATAACTTGTTATGATGTGGGGCGCGCGCGCCGTGCAACAGGTCGCTGTACAGTAGCGAGGGCGCGCATCTCCCAGCCGCTTTTAGCGCTGATTTCTCAACATCAGTGCAGAAAAAAGAAGAAAAGAAAAGCTGACAGCCATCTCACCGAGGATCAAACTAACAAGATGGCACGACTAAATAGGCAGAGGACGTCTTTGTGGCACGTTAGAAAAATCGACCGATTTTGACTGTTTCCAAAACTATTTTTGACAAAATCTTCTTAATTGTGATGTGTATATTCTATTAACTATCTGTATCCAAGTCATCTGTAACATAAATATGTTTATCCAGATATTAATAAAAACAAAGCCCAATTTATTTAACCGTTTTATGTCACTATTTGAAACTGGATAAACTGATTATGAAATTATGAAACAAAAATAAACTTGTTTTATTACAGTTACACGTCATATTTTATTCTATACTTATCACCAGACTGAACACACAAGATCCGTGTTATTATCCCCCCAAGAATCACCAAATTGGGGAGCTCTTCTCTCCCCATGGCTGTCTTTCTATCACTATCTTCCACTCTCCACGTGCTAAACAGTTGGGATGAGGGTGAAAAGGGAGCATTGTGCTCCAGTCAGTGGCACTATGTGCCGGAGAGTCCCTGAGAGGGTGATGTGCACTCAGCTGTGCTCCCTGAACGCCATTGTTGCACATTCCTCCTCATTTAAGTTTGTTTGCAGAGCTCACGCAGGAGCCACGGTGACACATCACCACAGTTCTGTTGCTCACCCTGAATAGTCAGTTTCATCATGTCACAAAAAGGTTTAATTGAGAATATTTTAAATTTTCAAATATGTATATTATACATACCCAGCTTTAATTATTTGCACAAAATACCTGAAAGCAAGATTTTAGGATCTGCTAATGTTGGAAATAATGTGACAAAGTATACTTTGAACCCTAAAAACTGAAAAAAGGAGCCTTGGCTCAGATGGCTGGGGTGTTCCTTTGCCATTTGAATGCAAAGTAGTTCAGAGGATGAACAAGTGTGTGTGTGTGTGTGTGTGTGTGTGTGTGTGTGTGTGTGTGTGTGTGTGTGTGTGTGTGTGTGTGTGTGTGTGTGTGTGTGTGTGTGTGTGTGAATGAGGACCAGTAGTAAGTTTTCATTTAAAAAAGGATCATTTATGGAGAGAAGCTCTGACACTTTATTTCTCCTTTTGACACAACATTGTTAGCAAAAAGTCAGGGACGTGTTCCTAAAGCTGCAACAGCAACATTTTTTTCATGCGTCTTAATAACGTTCTAACATCATAGCTATAAATACATTAAGGAGATTAAAAAAATGTAAAAATTAATAAAGTGATCCTCTAACGTCGGAAAAAGGTAGAATGCCTTCTCCAGGCCTTAAGAATGCCCCCTGGACACCTCGCTGGTGAGGTTTTCCGGGCATGTCCAACCGGGAGGAGACCTAAAGGAAGAACAAGGACAGGAGCAATTTCCCTCTGGGATTAATAAAGTATTTTTGAATTGAATTGAATTGAATTGAAGGATGGAGGGACCATGTCTATCAGCTGGCCAGAGAATGCCTAGGGATTTCTTCGGTGGAGCTGGCTCAAGTAGCTGGGGAGAGGGAATTCTGGGCCTCACTGGCCGCTGCTCCTGCAACCCGACCCTGGACAAGTTGATAAAAATGGATGGATGGATAAATGGACCCCTGCTATTAACACGTTTCAGACCACACTGCCAAAACTGTCTAAAAAAGTTACTATACACACACTAAAAAAGTTACTATACACACACACACACACACAAACATGTAAAAGAAGCCAAATATCAAATTTGTATTCATGGAATCAGTCTGTCCCACCTACACACAGTCATGGTGTGTTTTAAGTGTCACATAATTATATTGTAATTAAACAAAAGAAAAATAATACTTTAAAAATGCAGCAGCAAAGTGTGAACTCCATGAATCGACAAAAGTCGACATATGGACACATTTTCCTTCTTTCTTGGTGTGTACAATGTCACAGTTGTTTAAAGAGACAATGTAAGTTTTTATCATTAATCTCTGGAAATATCCATTGAAACATTGTTGAACATGAATTCAATAATGCCCGGCTGTTGAAGAATATTGGTGGCTTCGTAACATATAACCATATAAAATGCATGGGAGCGGGTCTGTAAGGCCTGACTCGAGCTGAGCTGGACCGGAGCAAAAGTTCGGATTGTTGCGTGTATTTTGACCCAAGCGAGGAGTGACTGACGCCGGGCAGATTGACACGCGTTTGCTCTAGGAGTCAAACCGTACAAAGCTAGTGAGCACGGCGGCTCCAAAAGGAAACAAGCTGACTTACTGTGAGTCGGCAGGGTGAGTGGCTTGGGCTGATCTGGTCAGAACAGGCTCGAGTAATCCGATAGGATCTGGTAGGAACTCGGAACACGGTCTGGTTAGGAACGATGACTGAGTGGTTTGGTGCTGAGCTGCACTTCCTTATGTAGACGTGGCAGGTGACGTGAGCCGGAAGGCTGGCGCTGGGAATGCTGGCACTGGGAATGCTGGGTAGTGGAGTTCGACTGGGCTGAGTGAGTGTGGGATCCTCCGGGGGAGGATGTCAAGGGTTGAGAAGGAGGCAGCGTGACAGGGTCTAACTCCTACTGCACACTGGAAGCATCAGCGACGGACGGCAGCGCAACATCACTGCTTCAAATAGATTCCATTATAGTTTGTGGGGGTGATTTGAACCACCTGAGTTCCAGCAATTTTCAGAAGTGGCGCGTCGTGCCACGCCACTAAAGTTGGGATCCGGTTCTCGTTTTGCAGTGAGCCGCATCTGTGGCGCGACAGTGTATGCGGTTAACGTAAGGCTAGACAGGAAATCACACACAGTTTCAGCGTAAAACCCTCTGTAATTTTCAAAATAAAAGTCTATTTCAGCGATGCCATTTCATATATTAGGTTAATACAAGTCACCTAACGGCTTATTTACTCACTGCATCGTTCCAGAAGTGCAGCGGTTTGTTTTTCATGGCTTTAATCCTGGCAGTGGAGAGTAACAACATCATGTATGACATCAAACAGGATTTCCTTCTTTTTGGTTTAATGGCAGATTGCATAAACTAGAGGGATTTTGTGATCTCACGAGGAGCACAGAAAAGCCACTTTGCGGCCGAGTCTCTCCCGGTGTGCACTGGACCGCAGCAGTTGTTGCGAGTAAACCTTTCCGCTGCCATTCCGCACCACTGCTGGTTCCAGTGGGTAATAGGGGTAAGTCTCTAGGCGACATCAAATTTGATGCAACGTTTCCTTCTACTTGTGAGGACAAAGTGCATTTACTTGTTTCCAACAACCAAAAATTCATCATTCATAAATGTTGCTGTTTAACCTTGCCTGCTGGTGGTGGTCAGAGGGACCGGTGACGCCAGAGTACGGCAGACTCGCCTCTGTCAGTGCGCCCCAGGGCAGCTATGGCTGCAGTGTGGCTCATCACCACCAGTGGGGAAATGTGTGTGTGAATGGGTGAATGACTGATGGTGTTGTAAAGTGCCTTGGGGAGTTCCACGACTCTAGAAGGCGCTATATCAAATACAGACCATTTGCACATTTACCGCTTTGTGGAGAATGAAAGGGAGTGTGATGTGCTTGTCATTTTGCTGGAGGCAGAAAGATTTGATGAAGTACTTGTTTGAAATTTTTGCTCCCAGGGATTTTTGACAACAGAGGTATCGTAGAATTACCTGTGGGTCAGAACCATCGGCTGTATGTATAAGAGGGATGAACCCTCTGTGCCGTCACCATCACCTGTAGGTTTCTGAAGACCGGACTTCAGTTCTCACCACTCGTCTCGTCGCTCCCAGAAAATACAAAAAACATCTAAGGCCTCTGAGGGTGAGGGCAGATGATTTAGATCCATCGAACTCTGAGCCAATTTAGCTACAAGCTAACTGAGCTAACCAAAGCTAAAAAAGATTGGCAGGCGCTTTTAGTCAGAAAACCGTAGTTGAGCTACTCTACGTTGAAGACGTCTGGGGGATTTTATAATATTAGTCTGTCTTTTCTTTTTTGATCTGATTAAACGAGTGCCTCTTTTGGTTGAATAGAAGTTTCCTCACTTTTCTTAAGTTTCAGGCTGAAAAATGTAGACCACCCAGGATTCATAATGACTCAACACAGAAACGTTTGTTTAAAGGAACACAGGCTGGATTAAGAAAGAGGTGGATGATGAGCATGAGAAGGTCAAAGAAAAGGAAACTTTTGTGAGGCACTGTATAAGGTGCACTTGACGTAATGGCACCAGGTCCCATTGTGTCCTTTCAGCTTTGCTGTCAGTCACTGAAGCATGAGTTTACCCAAGAAAGTGTGTATGTCATAGTGTGTGTGTGTGTGTGGGTGTGTGTGTTTCCACTTTAGATGCAAGGATAAGGACAATTGTGTCTCAAACGTGTAGCTTTCAGACAAACTTCAGTTCTGTAGTGTGTATGTGTAACTGGGTATGTGTGTGCTGCTCTTTGATACTTTTTCCTTGAGTTATATTTTTCAGTCCCTGTACTAAAGCTAACTTCTCCATTGATTTGTGAGTCTGTTTGTTGTTCCGCGTGTTTCTGCGGCATGTCACCTTGATTCCTCAGGCTGCCCCCTACACCACATCAAAAGAGCCACTTCTGTGTGTTGAAGGTCTCATCTGTGGGCCAGTCAGGCACTGGTCGTGCCCGACTGGAACCAATCACACACAACTGGGTTACGAACAGGAGAGTCTTTAATGAGATGAAAGTGAAAGAGGCAGAGGAGAAAAAAAAATGACTTCAGTTGTGGCTTCGTTTTATGGAGACGGAGTTGGGGGAAGGGGGTAAAGTCTGTTGTCTAGTGCGTGTTTCCGTGGAAACAAGACAGCCTCCTCCTCCGTAAATTCTGGTACACCGATGGAATTAATGTGTATCTGTGTGCACGCATGCGTGATGTGTGTGTGTGTGTGTGTGTGTGTGTGTGTGTGTGTGTGTGTGTGTGTGTGTGTGTGTGTGTGTGTGTGTGTGTGTGTGTAGACAACAATAAGACTACTTTAATTGACAATTCAAAGAGGAACACACTCAAAAAAATACTGAGTTAAAATAAATGAATAAAAAATTGGTGTTATGCTGGTTAATATTAACCAGAGCTTATCACATTTATGACATTTTTTTTGGTTTTGTAATGATGCTATTTGAAACTAAATATATTGTTTTCTTCACTAAAACAAATTTTTTTCTTTTAACTTCCTCCAGATGACAGCTCACGAGTGAAATCACCCCTGATCCTCTGGTGTGTGCTCCATCTTCTCCTCAAAGCACCGCTCTGCCCTTCGCTCTCAGCTCCTCTTTAGAGTTCTCCACCTCCCACATCTACCCACGGGACCCAGGGCAACCTTATTCTAAGAAGACAGTCCTGTCACCAGCCAAGAGTCTCCTTTTTAACTTGTTTTTTTCCTCCGAACACAATATCCACCTGTCTCTTGCAACCAGATTGCAGTTGTGATTTTTATTCAAGCCTGCACACATGGCCTCTCCCAAGTTGGGGCTTTCTGCCACTACCACAACCTCCTCTTCCTCCCTATCCTCCACAGCCTTGCTATGTCCTCCACCGCACCCTGGAAGCCCGAGTCAGGTCCCTGAAGGTCCCCCTAGTCCTGTCACGCCTACACCAAGCCCAGGATTAGCGTCTGCCTCAGCTGCACCTGTTAGAACCCAGCTGAGTATTGCTCTGATCCTAGAGGAGCTTCGAGTGCTGCAGCAGCGACAGATCCACCAGATGCAGATAACAGAGGAGATCTGCAGACAGGTGCTACGCCTCGGTGGAGAATCCTATAGCTTAGATGCACCCTCTCAGTATATCCTGTCTCCTCTTCCTGAACTCTGTTTGGAAGGCAACAAAAACACATCCCAACCAGCTGCGACTCAGACCTCCACGTCTGTGGCACCTCTCCTGGCATGTTTCTCCTCACTGCTCCCATCTCAGACAGCCAGTAAACCCACACAGCCATGCACTTCCTTGTCTCAAATTTTGCAGCCTCATAAATCACAAGCAGAAGGTACAAGGGAGCCCACAGTTCCTCATGGCTATCCTTGGGAGGGTTCTCAATGTTCTCCTACTTCTACTACCTCTTCTGCAGCCGCCTCCACATCTTCTTCCACCTATCCTTTAGCTCTGACTCTACCCAACCGCTATCTTCACGAGAAATCTTCCAATGCCACTTCAACAAGTGGGCAAAGTGACTTGTCTTTTCTAAACTCAGCCCTCCCCACATCATTATCCATCATCCCAAACTCCCAACTGCAGTCTGCCTCTGGTTGTGCCGATTCCTCTGCATCCAGTTCCAGCACATTCGGCCGTCTCCATCATGTATGTCGTTTTTGTAGGAAAGCCTTCAGCAGTGATTCTGCCCTGCAGATACATATCCGCTCACACACTGGGGAGCGGCCCTACCAGTGTCCAGTGTGCCTCAGTCGTTTCACAACACGAGGCAACCTGAAAGTGCACTTCCTTCGCCACCGTGAACAAAACCCGGAGCTCTCACTGTCGCTTCTGCCACCATCTTTATTTGGGGTGGCGTTAAATGCCACTGGAGGGCCAGATTTGGGGCAGATCATTAGCAGTGGTAGCAGCGCTGGTGCAATGAACACAACACAAAAGAAGCAAAAGAACAGGGCGGAGGATGAAAGATGTAGAAGTCATTTGGATGTAAGCAGTAACAGCGGTGGACTTTCTCTTGGAACATCTGGAAAATCTGCTCCTTCAACCCTGCCCCTACCTCCTAGTGTGGACCTGTCTTTGATTTCTCATTCTCTCCTGCAGCTGAATAGAGCTGCTGCTTTTGCTGCTGCAGCCTCTATTGCTTCCTGCTCATCCCAGTCATCCCCTTCCTCGTCGACCGCCACCTCTTCTCTAGCTACCTCCCTACTCTCAAACCCTTCCTTATCTTCCTCGTCCACCTTAGTTGGGCTTTTCAAAGGTGCTAAACAGCAGCACTTTGATGAAAACACCCCCCCTCATGCACCACTGCTGCCTCCTGCAGCATATTCCCAGCTCGCCCACCTACCTAAGCTTCTTTTCCCAACGGTTTCCACTTCCTCCTCTACTCAGACGGCACATTCGTCCCCATACAGCCATTCAGCGTTGGACTTGCTACGTACTCAACTACCCTCTATCGTAGGCTCCCAACAGCTTACCTCTCCCAGCCATTCCCAGCTTTCCTTCCCGGTTTCTTCTTTTCCCAATGTTCCGGGTCAACCCACCACCACCATTCCGTCCTTGTTGCCATCCACCTCTGCTACAACTACTCCTACATCTGAAACCTCTAAACTGCAGAGACTAGTGGAGAAGCTAGAGAAGGCTCCTCCGCTTTCCTGTGCTTCCTGGACTTCCTCCTCTACTCCCACTTCCATGCTAGAGATTTTAGCTAGCCCTTCCGCTACCTCCTCAGTGAGTTCGGCCAACAGTCACTTACCCAGCACCTCCGCCACGCATGTTGTGGCATCTCCGTCTTCAAATGTTGTCACTGCCTCTGTTTCACAGTTCACCCGTGAGATGATTGTTGCTTTGGGAATGAGTAGCAATGGGTCAAGTGCCATAGCAGGTGGCGTACTGCCATCACTGAGCACCACTGGCTCAGCACATAACCTGGCAGCTAATCAGTGTGGGGTGTGTCTGCGAGTGCTCAGTTGTCCTAGAGCACTGCGGCTACACCAGGCCACGCACCTTGGAGAGCGTCCCTTTCCATGTAAGATATGCGGACGGTCCTTCTCTACTAAAGGCAGCCTGAGCTCACATCTCGCCACCCATCATGCCCGTTTACCCAATGCACGCATTCAGAACTCTTGCCCGATTTGCCAACGCAAGTTTACAAATGCTCTTGTTCTTCAGCACCACATTCGGATGCACCTTGGAGGACAATTGCCCCCAGATGGCACGAAGGATTCCGAATTGGAGATTTCATCTGAATCTAATCCCGGATCCTCATCACAATCCCTCTCCAGTGACCAAAATCCGGCCTCAAGTAAAACACCTCTTCTAGCAAGCCACCCTAAGAGCCCAGCTCCAAGTTCACAATCCCAAACACAAGCAGTTGGCTCGAACCTTGTCAGCATCAAACCTGATAAGAAAAGTCACAGCAAGTGTCCACCTTCCAGCACAGATAAAATCCCCCCCACTGACCTAAGCCCTGAACCTTTCATAAATCCAAACGCACAAACCCCACCACCAGGCCTTGCGGACCCCCCTATCCTATCTGTCAGCGCACCACTACCAGTCTCCCAGCAGTCAGACCAAGCTTTAGCAGCTTGCGAAGACAATCTTGTCCAACAACCACCTGCTGATGTCCACGTTCCTACACCTGATTCTCCACCCCTTCTCTCCAGTGGAGACAAACCCACAGAGTCCCTTCCTGAATCATCTACCTTAGATTGCTTCCTTGATGCTGAACCCGACCTCGCAAACTTTCCAAGCACAGCTGATATTGACGCTCATTTTGCGTACTCTTGCCCCAGTACCACTTCTGACCCAGTTCCAACTAACGAAGTTTGTGACAATAGTACAAAGCCGCCTTTGGAAACAGACCCAGTCTCCCCTAAGCCCCAATCACCAGAACCCACGGAGGAGACGAAAGATCAGTTTCCTTCACCTGCAGTACCGCAACAAGACCAAGTAACTGTGCCAGACAAAGACCCAAAAGTGACTCTTTCAGTAGAGAATGCAGATCAGCAAGCATCTGAAGTAAGGAGTGAAACACTGAGAGCAGCCACTTCTGCAAGAGAGACCCGTCAGAGCTTTCATTTTGGTTCATACACGAGGGAAGACCGTAAAGAACAGATTAAAATGACTAGAATGGATTCAAGTGAAGCCATGGATATTTCTGTGCCCATCAGCCTGGCTCCAACCCTCCCATCGCCCATATCACGGCCTGAGAAGAAGACCTACTGCTGTGCTGAGTGTGGAAAGGAGTACGCCAGTCGCAGTGGATTGAAGGTTAGGAAACAGTTTTTGGTTTAAATGTGGATGTTTTGATTTAACTGCAGCAGAGTGTTTACTGGGATAAAGCTTTTAGTATCTAATGGGCCATTCCCATCTGTACCGGGTCGGCCCAGGCCGGGTAGCGTAGGTTGTTTACATATCTGGGTGGCCTGGTATTTTTCCGGGCCAACCAAGGCTCATTCTCAGCCCTCTTCTTGAGGGGGTCTGCTTCAGGCCGACCAGGGCCAACACACCCACTGCTGACAGCAAATTCACACCTTCCATTAGAGCAAGCCTCTGATTGGTGGGTAGAATCAGCCCACATGGGCTTAAGACAAGGATGTGTGGAATCGACCGGGCCAGGCTGGGGCCGACTGGGGCCGACTGGGGCTACCCGGCCCGGGCCGACCCGGTACAGATGGGAATGGCCCATTAAACAATACCAACCTACCCTGCCCTAAAACTCTCTCTGCCTCATCTAAAATGAACATGACAGTACAAATTAAATTGATTATAATTTCACTTAATCCCAGGGGCACATGAAGCACCATGCTGGCGTCTCCAGAGCATCACGGCCATCAGCGAGAAGCAGTCGCTCGTCCTCTGACCAACTTCCTTCGGCGACATCCATGGCATCCTTAAATGTTCCTGCCACCAGGAGCTCAGCAGGGTTCTGGAACCAGTATCAAGCCTTCCTCAGCACCAGTACCGACCCAACTGATGACCGAAACACTCAGCGCCAGGATATAAATGAACCAGCGCATTCCTCTAAGTCATCCGGTCGATTACAGGTGGATCCACGAACCTCGGAGAATGAGAGGGAGGAGTCCAAAAAAGGCTCTTAACCCAGTGTTGCTGTTTTCCTTCGTATCGCTTCCTTAACACCTTTCAGGCAGCCTGTTTGTTTGATTATCACAGTGATATGTCATATGTAAACGTTGTGAGTCAGCTTGGTCCTGTTGTGTTATTGCCGCGTTTGTTAAAAAGTGACACACAAAGCCAGAGTTTATGCTATTCATTCGTTCGTTCATTCCCAGATGATATCATTAACTTCCCACCGAGGCACCGACAACTAAGCTAATGAATGAGTTGAACTAATTTTCTTGTTTTGTAAACATTTTGGGCTGTTGTTGTGTACTAAATCGCGTCTTATTTACATTAAAGAAAGTTCGGTTGAATGAAAATGAGTGATTTTGACAAATCCGTGTCACATGTCAGTGATACCCAAGGTGACAGGAAAAATGTAGTAATATAGCTTTGTAAGTCACTATGAATGTGTTACTGTGGAAGTCTTCTATTCATATAATGTGGTTTTAACAGAACTTTGTTCGTGTTATTGTACTTTTTACTGTTATGCTAATGTCAGAACAGAAGCACATCAGTGTTTGTGAGCCCAGTGAGGCCACTGCTCTTCAACTTAGTGAATATTATTAGTGTTGTAGAGTGATGTCTGAAACACCTTGCTAACATTACTAAACCTTTAGGTCCATGCACATATATATCAAGGTCTTTGTTTGTTGTAAGCTGTACTTTCGGTATCTCAATATTAAAACGCCCTTTGGAGTAAAACGTTGTGTGGCCTACTGGTTACTTTATGAGATCTGCCAGCATCCGTCCTTGTATGATTATGAGCTGTTCAACACGAGGAGTTCATGTCCCAAATTTTCTCAACATAATAAATACAATGGAGTGGATTCACCATAACATTTATTAAAAATATCTTTCCCCTCTATACTTACACATCTATATTATTGCTAATATATATTGTAATACATCTATATCACGGCTAAAGCACTTCTGGATGGATGCAAACTGCATTTCGTTGCCCTGTACATGTGCAATGACAATAAAGTTGAATTCTATTCTAATTCTATTCTATTCTGTTTGCAGACTTGTTGAAAATTTTCAGAAAGCTTCACCCAGAACAGAGACATAACCTAATATGTCTCCGCCCGGTGCAGTGATACTTGTGTGACACACTGGGAATGGAAACAGCTTGTAAAAGTCTCTGGTTTTCAGGGATTTTATTCTACAGAAACAGTTTCTTTGTTTTATTTATTTACAGCAGGAATAAAAACATTATTATTGTGTAATTTATGTGTCATAATTAGTGATGCACCAATATGAAAATTCTGGGCCTGTTATTTGCCGATTCCGATATGCTGATATTAATGCTTCTAAAATCAACAGATGTTGTATAGAATGAAATTATTAGAGCTGAATTTATATTATGTGCACACACCACACACGTTTACACTTCTGAGATGTGTACAGTCATTGTCACATGACTACCCCCCCCCCACACACACACACACACAGACACACACACATACACACTCTGAAAAACATCAAATATCGGTTGTTAATATCGGCCCGGTTTTATTTAACGGACCGATATAGATATGTTAAAAATGACTATATATGTATATATATATATATATATATATATATATATATATATATATATATATATATATATATATATATATATATATATATATATATATATATATATATGTAATTTAGACAGAACAGTTTTTGTTTGGTTGGTCTTCCTTTTAACCTTCATAATTAAACTTACAAGTGTTACAATTTTTCATAGGAAAACATGAAAATACGTAAATGTAAACAACAATACAAAACTGTATTTCTCAGTTAGAAAAACTATTTGGGATTATTGTCTGATTATTGAGAACCTTCACGAACACTTACAGGGTTTGTGCATTAGAGGACGCAATTTCCCTCAAAGAAAAAAAAATTAGCCCACTTAGTTTGGGTCAACATCAATTTTCTTCATTGAAACTCACATGAAATAGTAAGAAAGTTGATGAAATTAACTAAAATGAACCTTTTAACCGTTATTTTAGGTTTCAACAAACATTTTGGAGTAAAAATCTGTTGGCTGAATAAACTCACACACAATTTTGGACAATGGAAATAACAGCTCACCCAAAAAGAACTGCATCTTTATCATGAAAACTAGAACCCCATCTGTTATTTTACTGTTTTAAAATGTTCTAGCTGCGTCATTTGTAGGAGTTTACCATCCTGCACATTCTTTTAGCTGCCTTTGCGCATTTTAACAGGCATTAAGGCATTTAATAGCTAATGGTAAGAATCAAACCATGCCAAGACCAATGGGTCATCAAGTTGAATCCAGCGTTTCCAAGAGAGGCGGGTTGAGCTGGAGGGGGGTTACAACTTTCCATCAAATATCTCCAGGGTGTAGTATCACGGTACCACGTCTGCAGAAGGGAGAGAAAACGCATACAAGCCCGCCTCCATTTCAAGCCCTCACGCGCATTATTTGTGCGCACAGACTCGCAGTGTTACGGTTCTCTTTTTGTGCAGTTTTCAAATTAAAAGCTGACTTCCGGTTGGTGTTTGCTAACATTTAAAACTAAGAAATCTTTTTTTAACATAGATGAAAAAATGCATTGAGAAAACATGTCATATACGTAACTTTAAAGGGGAATTTATTGATGTTTTTCACACCAGAATCGTACAAACGTACAATTGTATCAAATACAGAAGAATAAATAATAAATAGTGAAATGATATTAAACGGTAACGGTATGAGAAGTCCATCAGAGGAAAGAAGTCGGCTTTTACTTTGACTGCCGCACGCCAGCGTGAAAACCATAGTATGTGAAATTTGGGCGCACAACAAATTCGGGTGAGGGCTGGCTTTGGCTTTGGAGGAGGAGGCGGGCTTGATCGCAGTGAAGGGAAGAGGGGGATCAAAATAAGTGGCTCTGAGCCAAGGAAGAGAGGACAGGAGGAGCTAGAGCTGGTTATTTTTTATAAAGTCAACTGCAACATCTGGCGCAAAACGCAAGCTGAATTTGGACATAAGCTCCGAATCTCCTCCTCTCGGACCTTTTCCCTCAAGAAACGTCCAATAATTCGATTATTCCTCATCTAAACGAGAGAAGAATGCACAGATAGGGGAAACTGCTGGTTTATGCTAGGTTTTTTTCGCATAAAGGTAGTTGCAGCCTTTTTTCCTTTCCTACAAATAATGTTTTGACAAAAAGCAAAGACGAAGCTGCGTAAAGTCTTACAGGAACGTGTACCAGCGTCAGATAGGCCTGCTTGTGTGTGTGTGTGTGTGTGTTTTGTGTGTGTGTGTGTGTGTGTGAGACGTGATGATCCCAGAGCTGAGATCGGTGGTCCGGCTGCTGCTGCTGGCGGTGGTATGGGAGCTGAGAGCGCACGGAGCCACGCAGAGACAAGTCAACCCGGCGGTGAGAACTGTGCGCACACACACACACACACACACACACACACACACACACAAAAGGAGAAAAAACCCAAGACAAACAACAGAGAATAAAATAGACTTGATAGGATAAAATTGACAATAATAAAATAAATACTGTTAGGACAGAAAAAGTAAAAATGTATATTTACAGAAATATATTTTTGCAGCAAAAGTTTGATGCCCTGGTTTTATTGTTGCCATTAGAGCTCTGTTTTCTGCTGGGAGGTTGGAAAGGCTTTGACCCTGGGTTAGAGGAAACAACCCTTAATGATGATAGTGCTCATGAAAACAGAAAAATGCTGAGGGGTCAAAAGGTACAGATGAAAAAAAATCAAGGAAGACTTGGGCTGAATTGTGGTCAGGAGCAGAGACAGTGAGACTTTTTATAGATGGAGGGATTGTGAGATGTGGGTATGGAGTTCTGTTCTTGTAGGCTAATTGATTACATCTGTTCTAAATTGTATCTGAGCAGTTGGAGGAGATGAGTTTCACAACCTGAGAGGCTCCAGAGGCATCTGGATAAGACAGAAATATCTAGTTTCATCCCAAAGTCACCTGAAGTACATTTACAGAGTAAGGATTTAGTTTATTTAAATTTCCTCTTAAACACAATAAGTTCCTCAGAGTTCAGATTCGGGCTCAATCATTCCACAATAGAACCAAACAAATGACATTAAAAACCATCAATCATAGGAAGTGCCATAGTTTGCATGCTTCAATTGCCTGTATGGTAGGGCTGCACGATATTAGGAAAACCTGCGATATGCGATAACAGTGATTAATGTTGCGATGACAATATTACTTGAGATAAATGAAAACTTAACTCAGGATCAAAAATAATGAAAAACAAAGAAATTAAAAAAATGACTACAAATCATAAAAATGAGAAAAGCAAAAGATGTGAGGAAAGGGAAAAAGAAAATGATCAAGAAAAGGCAATCAGTGGATCCAGGAAAAAACAGAATCAGCTGAAAGAGCAGAACAAAGCTAACTCAGGTGTTTGCTAACCATCAAAATTAAGTGCCGTCCGCCTCGGGGGCGGGCATCTAACCTATGAGAACCCACCCAGTTGGCCAAATGGGTGAAGAGCTCTGTTTGACTTTGTTAAAAAAAGAATCATGCTTCCGTTTGACTGACATAATGCATTAAGTGTAGCAAACATTTGAGCTGACCAGTCATTGCGATATTTATCTGTTCTTTGCAAAATGCATATTGCACATGCTGATATCGAGATAACGATATATTTCCGATACATTGTGCTGCCCTAATTAAAATCATCAGGTGAGTGTGTGTAAAAGTGGTCTAAAAATTCAGAAATTTGCTAAAGAATACAAGAGTCACACATCTTTCTGTCCACACTCTAACGAAGCAAAACTGAGTCAAACTACCTTTTAAATATGGTACTTTTTGAAACCTTTTGTTGATTTTTATACATTGTAAACATTAGTTAATTAGTTTAATCAGTCACTGTCATTTCACAGGTTGAATGGCACTTTTTTCCTTTCAATAGATTAACAACAGTTTAAATGTTCCAAATCACGCTTTTTTATCTTTGAGAGGAAAAATAGGCACAATATATGATTAAATATTATCGTTGACACTACTGAGATGTAAGTTGTCTTAAATAAGAGTTATTTTTGACTCTATGCCCGGAAATGAAACGATTTGATTCAGTGAAACTCCGCCCACCCCACTCCGAAAAAGCACCGACAAGAGCGTCTAGCCTGCTGTTGTAATGGTTTTGGTAGTCCAGTGACTGCATTCATCCTGTTTTGCCATGTGATGATGTGGGTTCGACTCCCGGTGTCGGCAGTAATTTATTTAGCCGGCTGAAACAGATTCAATCTTTTTAATATTTTTGTTTTTATTATTTTCTGCAAAATATTTTGTTATTGATTTCCCGTTCCGATATTGATATTGGATATTGGCCCAAAAACACTGTACCAGATTATATTGAACTGCATCAAAAATCTCCGATATTAGCGATACGTTCCACTTTCAGTTCCATTCCAGCAGCGCCCAGATTCAGCATGCAGAGTCCACATAATCAGAACAGTGTGTGATAGCAAGTAGCAAGGAACGATGTCGGTCATGTGGCTGTATTTTTCGTTAAATTTCGAAAGAGACAGTTTGGCTCAGTGCAACACTTGTCATGCACAAGCTTCCCGTGGCGGAACAGAACCGGGGAAGGTAAATGCATCCAACCTCATCGTGCATTTGAAGCAGGATCACACAACATTGCATGAGGATTTTCTCAGTGTGTGAAATCGAAACTTTAGACTCTCAACTTGTAGCAGTTGGTCAGTGAACGATATTGTGTTTTTTCCTTATGTCCCTAACCTCAGCTGTTCACATGTATGCAACCAAAGGTTAATAAAAAAAAATTGGTCAGTTTTTTTATACTTACGGTTTCTAGCTTTTGTTTTATGATTGAGTAAAATCACTTGATCAAGCCTTTTATACATTCCACACTATGGATAGGTAAAAGTGATTTTATGCTGATGTCGGTATCGGTCAATACTTAAGGCTGCAATATCGGTATCGTATCGGAAGTGAAAAAGTTGTATCGGGACGTCCCTATGTTTTGTGTCTCTAAAGATCTATTTGGTCATTTCCAAGCAGCATTTTAGTTGATTTTCTCTGCCCACCTCGCATGAGCTCACACTGGCTAAATAAACAATGAATGTGAGAAAAAAGTTTAGTCTTTTTATTTTAAACACTACCAATAAAGGGTTGGAAACATAATACTGGCATGTGTAGCTAGAAAAGAGGAAAAGAGGTTACTGCCACAACCGGGAGGTGAACCTGCACAAAAATACATGTCAGTCAGGCACTCTAATGGCCAGTGAGTCTAATGCAAAACAATAGTCGCCTAAGACACATATCCTGTGTTGGCCATCACGTGGCTTTGTAGACAGGATGCATGGTTTTTACTGCAGCGTTTTGCCCCTGATGCAGAAGTAATTTGTCAGAATATCCAGGTTGCAGAACCGAGACCATACAAACTTCAAGGAGGGGAGAAATTCTCTATTTTAGCCATGTTATTTTATTTAACTCATACTTTACTACCTCTTGCATGAGCTTTCTTTAGTGAGCGCAAAGTCAATTTTGTTGTACACCTGTGCAATGACTAGAAATTATCTTGAATTTTGAAATGCCTGATGACACAAGTAGTTTTCATTCAGTCATCTTCAGGATTTTCAGTGTAAAACTCTAAATTTACAGCTAATACAGGAAATGTGTGAATGCAGCCAAAACAGGTTTGGGGGTTGTTTTCATGACAAAATAACAATGTCACATCAATCAAATCAAATCAAATCAAATCAAAGATACTTTATGAATCCCAGAGGGAAATTAGAGTTTCAGTACACACAATTTAGAGATCAGACATACATGGGCAAGACACATGACAAGAATTGGTGACTGTGGTCATTCGCAACCCGAGTCAGGCTACCTTAATAGAGATAAGAGGGGTTACATGAGGGTTGGTTCAGATGGAGGGGGAACAAAGGCACTTCAGAGTTACCCTCCACCAGGAGGGCAGCTTTGCTCTGCAAAAAAACACCTCAGGAGGATAAGATATGGAGGAAAGGAGAAGAAAAGTGTCGGCACCCTCCAAGAGCCGGAAGAAGAGGATAAAAAGCTAAAAAAAAAGGATTTTCTATGATATAGCCCCTTTTAGCAAGTCCAAGAAAAAGGGATACTAGTCAATTTTCCAGATAAACATACAGAACGGGGGCATTACCATCAAGTCATCATGCATTCCTCGGTGCATTGCATTCTGGGTATTCGGGGATTAAATTACTTGCTGTGCCATGAACTAGAAGCTGCAAAACACGGACAATAGAGTGCTATTGAAGTCGCCAACGAGGGAGGGACTGAATAGAGTGGAACAGTGTCCATGACATTTAAAAAATGATGGTGCCAAATCCACTCTTTTTCAGGGTGATATTTTCCTTGAAGGAATGCTAGATTTTCAACTTCAATACAAAACAAATCAAAGCATGATGGACAAAATCGGTTTCCTTTTTTCCTCAGTTGAGTTATGATCTCAAACTCTGCCCCCACAAACCCACGTGTTGGTTTCCGGTCCTACGTGTGTTTTAATTCATGTTAAGCCCGATCAGGTCAGTAGATGCATATTGGTCAGCGGAACAAACACCTGCAGGTGGGTAAGGGAACACAAGTCATATCCTGTGGTCTGTGGTGCAAGCAGGAAGTGGTCAGTTCAGAACAGAAAATACCCTGATGTGTCAGCACCCACCTGCCTGTTAATCATGTAAACACACACACACACACACACACACACACACACACGCACGCACGCACCACACACACACACACACACACACACACACACACACACACACACACACACACACATGCGTCTATAGGCTGAGATCATTTACTTCAAAGGAAGATAGATGGCCATGAAATGAGATGATGAAGGCGAGACAGGGAGGACAGTGAGGAGGCTGTTGCAGAACTGAAAGGAGGTTATTGTTGTGCATAAAGAATGATGCAATGTGGGAAATATTAGGCCAATAAAGGATGTGTCCTGCCAAGTAGGACAGGATGTAAAGCACATGCATCATGCATCCATCCTGTGTGAATAAACTTAAACATTTTGTCTTTTAAAGTTTAGGAGAATCCAAAGGATTCTAGGCCATTTTAGGTGAGTCATTTAAGTGAAGGAAGGAAGGAAGGAAGGAAGAAGGACATTGTTAAAGTCATTGGGGTGGTGGCACAAGGGTAATCTCATTTAAGAAAGACGGGAAGAGTTACAGGAAATAACGTATTATGTAAAATAATTACCTCATCTCTTTTATATGAAAGGGAAGCTTTTTCCTTGCTTGACAAACTCCTGCCATCTAAATTAGCGTTGAAATGACTTTTTGCCCATAGAACAGTGACAGAGATTTTCTTTCCACTCTTCTGTTGTATGATCCTGTTGGTGTTGGCTCAAAGAGGCTGTTTTAATAC